GTCCAAGGTCTTTGAGCGTTTTGTGTTGAATAGCATCAAGGATCACCTTCACCGAAACAACATGGTTTTTGTACTGGAAGACGGTGCGTCACCAACTTGCTTGAAGCTCTTCTGCCACATTGGTTCACTTTTAGATAGTGGCAGCCGGGTTGACACCATATACCTCGATATGTCAAAAGCTTTCGACAAAGTCAGTCACAGGCGCCTCGTCCATAAGCTAATCTCCGCCGGTTTCGGTGGAAACCTGCTTAACAGTTCTGCTCCTACCTGTAAAGTCCACGCCAGCGCGTTACAGTACTCGGCGCTACTTCAGAGGATCTTCCTGTTACCTCTGGAATACCTCAGGATTCCATACTCGGACCAGCCCTCTTCCTCGTATACGTCAACGAGTTTCCCGAAGTCATCAGTTCTAGCAGTCGAGTATTGATGTTCGCTGACGACACAAAAATATTCAGAGAGATAAAGGCTTTGGGGGATGCCTCTTCTCTCCAGGAAGACCTTGGGAAGCTTGCAACTTGTTCTCAATCATCCGGTCTCCTTTTCTACGAAGCTAAGTGTAAGGCGCTGCACATTACAAGGAAAACAAAGCCGATCTTATCCTCTTACAAACTCAACAACACCGCACTTGAATTGTATTCTGCAGAAAAAGATCTGGGCGTTTGGATTTATAAGGATCTGACATGGTACAAACAAGTAAACGAACAATCTTCGCGAGCTAATAAACTGCTTGGATACTTAAAGAGGAACACGAGGTTCATACTTAGAACCGAAGTAAGACGAACGCTATAGCTAGCCCTAGTAAGGCCACATTTGGGATACGCCACCCAAATTTGGGCCCCACAGTCAATCGAGCTCATTGTCAAGCTTTAGCGTATCCAAACAGACGCGCGACTAAGTTTATCGTAAAACTGCCTTATTCTTCTAATATAAGTTAGAAGTCTCGTTTACAAACTCTAAACCTACTATGGCATGAACTTTTACATCTAACCTTTTTTTCCAAATTGACGCACGGTCTTGTTAACGTGAACTCCTCTGTCCTACCTGAAGTTCGCAAATACGGTAGACGCACTAGATCCTCAACCAGCAGTGTTAATATATACATAATTAAAAAATGTAAAAAAAGTACGTACCAAAAATCCTTTCTCATTAGAACTAGCAGAATTTGGAATTGTGTAGTGGATGAACTCAGATTTGAGCTCATCGACCTTAGCTTCCTTTAAATCGGTTATTTTTAATTACTATAAGTTCGCGTTAGCTGTTTCCTTTGATTGTGAAGACCCACGTTCCTTCAAGTCTATCTGTTTAAAATGTAATAGTGAGCGTCCCTTGTCTCATCCAATAACTTGTTGTATGTAGCTGTAGTTTTTCTTGTATTGCTGTGCTTTTTAATATTTCTTGTTTTTATTTATTTATTTATTTTAGTATCCGGACCTGCTGTAATTGGCCGCAGCTGTTGCGGTGTCCCTGCCAATGTTCTTTCTCTTTGTTTGTTTGTTTGTTTTTGGCGAAGCTAACAAAAGCAAAAAAAAACTTGCAAACTGTTTACGGACGGTGGCGCGATCGCCTTTTGTTTTCTGGTCAAAGAGTTCTTTCCAGAACTAAGTCTTACTCCAATTCAGCGTTTTTCTCCATACTTAAGCTCATTTATCTCTGAAAAATGCGTGGTTACTCCCAGTTTTCTCTGTGGATTTCAATAGCCCTTGGTACAGTCTTTGTCTCACATAGTCATTATCCGGGAAAAAATACTTCCCATCAGTGGGCACCGTCCTTAAACGAAAGTCATTAATCCGCGATTCTTGATCAACGATGCTAGAAATCATGCAACAATAGGGTCAGGATTTGGAGAAACGGGCGACATACCCCCACCTCGAATGCCTATTAATAAACCATCCCCAACCCCTGAAGTCGAAACCTAAGCCCTCTTTCTTTAAATAAAGACGATGGAATCTTTATGTGATCTGGCAGAAATTAACGCTGTGAAAAATGAAATCATTGTATCAAACTCTTTTCAAAAAGTTTATCTTACAATAGATTTCTTAGACCTTAGGCTTAGAACAATGATTCAAATCGAAATGAAGCATTGTGTAGGGAGATTAATTAAAACAATGTCAAAGGCCATGCCCAAGAGAGTTCTTACGTGTACAATGAAGACTTTTAAAACTGACTTCAAGGCAGTGTCCGTACACAATCGGCTATTCAGCAAGCAAACAAGTCTTTGACTGGAAAAAAGCGACAAAGATAATGTTTTGTGTTCAAACTTTTGTTCAAAAACAAAATTACGGTAGATAAACCTCTTCTACCCATATCAGCTTGGAATTGACTGAACAATTACGCCGGATAACAACTTGGACTTGTATGGATCGGACTGAATTAAATGCTGGAAGGCAGTGAAATGAACTATTGTAACTGAAAGAAGAAAAAATATATTCGGAGATTTCCACGCCATCAGCAACGACTTGAGGTTTTGTCTTTATAGCCATTGTACAGCGGATATGCCTGAGAAAGTCAAGTTACCCCCTCTTCTTTGCATGACGGTCAACAAGACGGGTCCCGCGAGATCTGAATATCGTTTTAGCTTCACACCAAAGGCAAAACTCGTCCAACCTCACGTCAAGCTCGCCTCCAGTTTCATGTATCGGCGTCCGCCAGATTCTATCCGTGGCCAGCCCCGTGAAAGCTTTCAGCCTGGTTTTGTTCCCGCTGCAAGATCGGGCTGGCTTGATGACTATGTGTTTCTGCATAGCAACGCGTTTTACAGCAACAACAAAGAGAAGCAGACTTATTTCACTGTAAGGCCAGATTGGGTGTCTGAAAGATGTGTTCGGAAGAATAACCCTTTCTCTTAGTATATTTAGTTGATAGAAATGACTCTAGGGGTCGGTTATTTAAACTCAGACCGCACTTTAGGAAATATTTGGACCTATAGATCTCTTCCTTAGTGTGTTGTTTTAAGAAGACAAATGATTTTCTAGTCTACGCCATATGCTTTTATGAAAATGTTTACTATAAATGGTGTTATCATAAATTAAAAGCGTTGGCAAACTGAAAATGGCTTGGAAAGCGGTTTTGTTAAACACCGGCTAAACTCCATTTAAATGCTGGCCCTAAGTGACTGTTCCTTATTTTTGTGTTCTACCGAGCTGAGAGGCTCATTAGTAGTCGGACTCACTGTCAGTTACGCTTTAGATTGCTACGTCTTAGGGTATGTTGACGCTATACTGGATGGCTTTAATTGCGTTGGCACGAAAACCATACCGGATAGGGATTCTATTGGTTCACACATAAGAACGATTATTTCGACGCGATTTCTGTAACGAAGCGAAACTACGACCCACCGATCTCTAAAAGTGACCGACTCACATATCAGTTGAATTCGACAGACTCTGGCGAATTTTTATTGCACCTAACCTAAAACTGCCGTACCAAATTGATTCAAACGCCGCTCTTTTTCCGTACTTAATTCATCAGCGGTTCAGACGCCGCTCAACTCATGTGTTGAACCTAAGTGAGTTTGGTTCGACTTTGGAGCGACATTGGCGCGACATCTGATTAAGACGGCGCGCCGTGTGTCGAACCTAATCTTTATTTCATGTAGGGACTTATGGGAAGATTTATAAATTATCATAATGTATGCATTTGATTCGGCACATGAGAAGAACGCCGTATGAATCACCTGCCGCTCCAATGTCGAATAATGCGACAGACCCTGTCGAACTTAACGTTTTTGCCGCACCAAAATAAAATTGCCGTACCAAACTGATCCGGATGCCGCTCTTTTGCCGTACTTAATACCTCAGTTAGGTTCGGCACATGAGTGGAGCGGCGTCTAGGTTCGGCACATGAAAAGTACGGCGTCTGAAACAGTCCTTAGGCTTTGGTACTATCCCGCGGATAGCTTTCCGTATCGGCAAGAAAGGCTATCCGGTACAGTGTCAACATAGCCCTAGTTTACTGCTCATTTAGTTGGGTGAGACTGCCATATAAAATGTTCTGAACTAAACTTTAGCCTCATTAGTTTTTTAACCAAGAGTGTTTTTCCGGTTATTCTTAGCCTCTACTTTCTATCTAAAAAAGAAAAGAGTGTAGGCACACAACCATTACAGCTGCGAAAATAAATTTGCACCTAACTAGAATATGCTTATCAGTTGTTTAGAGCATGTATAAACTGCTTCTAAACTTAAAGGGCGCCCTTATTGTATTGTTTGTATACAACCACCAAAATTCTACGGAGGAAATAACTGACCACGGTTACCTTTTTCGCTGTAGAAGTATTTGGAGGTGAAATGCTGCTAGCCTGTGAACAGGCTCTCTGTTTGGGGAAAAAAAATAGCGAGGAGTTCCCGGCCAAAGGCCTGTTCACAGACTAAAATGCTGCCGAAGTGCGCTGATGTATCACTTATTTTACAGTAAAATGTGATCCAGATAAAGGTGATGCTTTTTAATGCTGATAAGTGTGGAATAACATGAATAGAAAGGAGAAAACCTTGACCTTGTGTGCAATTCTTCCGCTACAGAGTTTTTTATATCGAGTCTATCTTATTTCAAAGTACGCTGAATTTAAAAAAGTATCATCGCATTAGGTCAGCACCGGTTAGTTGGCGATTTGTATTCAATTAGCTCCTTGATACCCCAGTACAATAACTCTTAAGTAAGTCGACTTAACAAAGAACAAAATTGCATAACAATAAAAGTAAAGAACGAAATGATGAATTTGTTGTCAGGTTCAATTATACAATGTGTATCATTGGCGTTGCTATAGACAACAAGTAACGCAACCTTTTTTAAACAGCCGGTACTCGTGGAGTGGAGTGGAGATCATTTCACCATCTTTGACTTATGATATTGAATCAGTTGCTGTAGCGAAGTTTGAAAGTTTGTTTTCTCAGTGTTTTTTGGATAACACATTCTGGCTGCCCAAGAAAAGAAGCTTCACTTGGGCGATTAATTCGCTTGGGCGATCATTGTACTTATCTACGCTCTCTGACTGCGACTCTCTCAAGATGCCATATAAGTATGGAAATGCCCCAGGGTTGTTACAGGAAACTATTAGTAAGATAACGTACAAAAGCGAATACACAACAAGTTTCATAGGAGAACGTGTCCCGTTGCAGAACTTTCGCATTCCGACAGGATTAAAGATGATAACGGCATGGGACGAAGCACGGAAGTCGGAAACTCCTCGTGCTATCCAGTTGCCTTTTCACCACAGAATAAATTATCCCGCAAGAACAAACGTTCAAGGAATCCAGCCATCACCAACAGCACGAGCTAAAAGTGCCCTTCAAAGGCCTTGTGGTAATGCGTCTCAAATTAGCCGAAGCAGTAGTCGTAGGCCTACAAGTTCGGTGTCGGCATTCTCAAAGCGCCAGCGACCAAGTACCGAAGATTTGGTACTACGACCCCAGAGCTTAGTCCCGCGAAGGCCTCAAAGCGAGCTTTCTCGTTTCTCAAAAGAATTCCGCTACATTGACAAACAGTGCTTCTTTCATCCAGCCACCGAACCAAGTAGGAGCTCAGTCTTTATAATAAGCCCTGACTGGGTCTCTGAACGCAAGAATCACTTTATTCGCAAAAATACTCTGTTTGGTTAAAAATTCAACTTGAGATTGAACTTGCCTTAATGTTATTACGAACTCGTAATAAGAGGGTAAGCAGGGCTGAACTAGGTCGGTTTATTTTGAGTAATTCGGATTCGTATTCGTGGCCTTTTCAACTGCCGCCCCCTTCAACTCATTTTGACATCCTGTTGACAACTTGTTTGGTTTCAGTTTTCCCAACCAATCAGAAATAAAGTGTTGACAGCCTAAACACGACACTAAAGCTCGTGATATAATGTAAAACGTGGCCTTGGCCGGAATTGGAGTTTGCCTGAACAAACACAGAATTTTTCCTTGTTGCTATCTAGCGCATAGGTGACTACACTGCGTTCTAAACTTGACTGAGTAGATCTTATTTTTGCTGCACTAAGTCTTACATTTATTTAGAGGTCATGAAGTTGCATGGTTTGTTTCATCCATATTGAGTAATTATTTCCTGTGGTTAATGCTTCTGTATGTGTTGCTGATTAGAATTTTTGATCTCAGATGAAGTTGTAAAGTACTAATTTCTTTGACCACTCTTAAAGCCTAAAGCTTTTTATTACGGCTAAATAAATATTTTAGCCTGTTTGGTCTTTTCCGACTAAAATGCCTGGATCTGGATAACTACATACCAAGGAGCCCTGGTTTGTAGTTTCTTTGCCCGTGAATGTTTTGACTCATGAATGTTTTGTGTTAAGTGTTGTTTGGAGGATGTTGTATTTTTCCGTATAGCGCGATCTTCAGATTTGAGTTGTCGCTTAAACTTAAGCTACACCAAGAGCCATAATAGGACAGAGAGGGACTCTCAGGGCGTTGGCCAGGATATCTTAATTTCAAGAAAGCTATTTTTAGAACTATGCGGACCACGCGGAAACAGTTTCCGGTAAACTGGTTGACTTCCGGAAGACTCGCTTTCACGATTTCAGCGCGCCAAAGCGAGGCGGCGTCAACAAATAAAAAAATGGCGGCACAAGTGGAGGGACGATGTGGGGTTGATAAACTGGCCTTCTTCAACAAAGAACCTACCATGGAAACTGCTTAAAACTTCTACACAAAAGGGTCCTTTACAAGCAACGGTAGAAATCGGTTAAAGCGACCGCGTGACCATCGTTTTTGTTTGAACAGCTGGAAAGAGGACAAGTAGCATTGCGGCCCGGATAAGCGTTGAAGACAAAATGCGCAGGTCCTACAAATACGACCGTACAAGCAACGATGTGGACGTATTTTCTGTTGAAAGAGGAAGGGAAAGAACGTATAAAGGTTTCCAGTATTTTTGTCACGGACAAGACCGGGAATCTTGTGGAACACACCTTTTCCTGCTTGACTGATATTTTGTTCCGCACTTCACATATGGACAATTAGCAATTCTTTATTGAACACGAGGTTAATAGAAGCGGAGGTTAATGTTCCTAAATCAGTAAAGATACCAAAAAGCTCAATTTGATTGACCGATCAAATCATGCGTGGAAATCAACGCGCGACAACATTTCCGATATCTGGCCATCTATATTACTTTTTAGAGGGGAAATTGTAATCATACAGGTTTTCGATGACGATATTTCTTCTTTGGCCATAGCAAAGACAGTAAAGATCATGCTCTTGCCAAAACTTGTTGACAAAATTTCCATGACATCTGTCCTTTGAAGAAGACTGTAAATGGTCATTTCCTGTTTAGGCTTCAATACAATTGTCCTGTTTTCCGGTCAAATATTCAAGATCGACGACGCTCCGGTCAACGCTTCTTTGATATTTTGATTTTGTTTTGCGGAGATGATTTGTTCAGTCCCTCGAAACTCTCCCACGGGAGATTACCAAAATATTTGATTGACGGGCGAACATTCTGAACCAATCGGAACGATCCGTACGCTGGCGTACGGACCGACTCAAACAAAGCTCCCCGTCCGTGCAGGCGGTTTCTCAAGTTGCTCCCTGCTCCCACACCAATCTCCTCGCGGTTTTTGGCCCGCCTTTATTAAGTAGCTCGTCCAACCAAAACCGCCATGCTACGCAGGCTAATCTATTGAGCAATATTTAAAGAAACACTTGTCTTAATTTCACGGCACCAAAGGTCACACAAGAGTCTTCTGTGCGAAGCGCGCGATCTTTACACGCCCTAAGGGCGTAAGGCGTGTAGGAGGGGCGCGCCTCCAATTTTCTATGAGAAAATCCCTGGGCTGTGATTGGTCGTCTCCAGTAGCCGACTCCTGTCGTGATCTATCTATAGGGGTGTTTTCGAGGCCCGCTGAGGAGTACACCAGGTTGAAGTGGACGGAACAATAAGTCTTTGTAGAAGTTTTCTGCCCCTTGGCGTCTTTGATTTTGAAAATACAGCATTTTGAATTTCCCGATTTTCACAGTGCGTTACACCACAGTGGTAGCCTCGGCAGAGATGTTTGGTTATAGAAAAGCTATCTCCTTATGATTTTCAGCAGTTTAAGAGCGAATGCACAGAAAAATCGAGCAAACCGTGGCCACAGCTCAAAACCTAACCTACCCTCATTTTAAGTCTGTAGTATGGTTTTAATGAATTTATAACACTTCTGAGGTTTAAATTTCAAAATGCGGCCGAATTTGGGAATTATTTGAGATTTTCGATTTCAACGGTCTGCGGGCCTAAAATTAGCCGCCGAACACGGCAATATAGCCTAGCGACAGAAATGAGCTGACTTTCATAAACGAGCGAATATATTGGCAATCTTCCACTTAAATCTCAAAAAGCAGATATCTAACAATTTCTAAACAGCACATTTTTTTAGATTTAGAGAATAAAATATCGACGAACCAGCACAATTTTGAAACGTAATTTGCATAATGCTTATAAATACAACAATTTACCGCTAAAACCAAAATCGAATTTTCTATATGGGGGAATTCTCCAAATCACCCCAAATCCCGCTTACTACCTAATGAGATATAGTACTTCAACATTATCTGAAAGTTAGTCTGGTGTTCATGCGAACGCTTGTAAAATAGATTGATTATTTTGAGGTTATTTTGCCCCAAACAACCGCTAATTGACCCCAGGGTCCGTTGACACGTGCACGTCACCTTAGTTTTACGCATCGATTTGAGCTCGTTAAAAGGGAGAAACTAACAAGATTCATATGTACCTGTTTTAATGAAATACACGCAATCTTGAAAAGGAGAGGCCGTTCAATGGGTAATTTCTGTTCTTGAGATCTTGTAGATTGTACCATGACGTCTGCGAGTGGACCTGAGTCCAGGTCTGTTTTCCCTTGACTGCGAAATCAGAATAACATCATGAAATAATTCCGCTCGAACCTTCGTAAATGAATCAGCTTTGCAGTGTCTTACCTGAGATAAAAAGTGGGCCGAATAGGAAAACATTCTAGCGCAATTTGGATCCTTTGCAGCACGTAGTGTATTTGCTAAGCGGCGACGGTATCAATGACTTTTAATCCGATTGCGTGACCAAGCAATTATCGATTGTCTCCTGCGAAAAATAAGTGCACGGGAAACCAAAGATTTCGGGATACAGTAATGATGATTAGCAAACATACTGTCCCACTTTTAAAAATGGTACAGTAACTGAATGTCAGCTGTTCTTCTGATTTTACCCCCAACCCCGGACTGTTCAGAAGATATATTTGCACTACGCATGAAAGGCAAATGGATTAAATTTTAAGGTTCAAGGCGGTTTTAAGGCATGGGTTACCAGTGGATTAGTCAGACTTGTCATAAGGTGCATTGAACAGAAAATTACAGGCATGATATCTCTGCTATTGTATGCCCGGCCCATTAAGTGATTTTCCAGCAAACATTATTTGTTGACTTTTTTACCCCAAAAGTTTTTTCCGTTCAATTCTTATCTATGACATCTAAACTTAGTTAAATTTCTGTAATTTGTTGTTAAATGCAATTCTGCAAACAACTAGGTATTTAATTTTGCGTAAAAGCTACATGAAATTGTACTGTTTAGCCGTAAATCATTAAAAAGAGAAAGCATCACGCTTTCTCTTTTCAAGTCTAGTGGGACTTAAGCAATGGCATTGCTTAAGTCCTAGTAGTTGTACTCCATGTCTGCTAAGGAGGAAATAGTTTGCTCTTTTCAAGAAATTGTTCTTGCCCATTGCGGTTTCAAACGAAGGTTAGCAGCAAGTCTGTCGTGGTCATATACTGCTACTTCAGTGCAAACGAAGCATAGGCGCACAAGTCAGCGCTTGCGTTTAGTCAGGTGCCGAAAATGAAGTGGAAACTTAACCCCAAGGGCGTCCATGTTCGCTCCGGCTCGAAAAGGTAGAATCAGTTGTGCAGTAAAAACTAATGCGAAAAACCTGCGGGGGCTGGGGAAAGAAAGGCTTCTAATTTTTCTTTGGCTTGTTCTATTTTCGCGACGTGGTACAGGCTACGAAATACTGACAAGCTCAGTATATTTCTTCACCACCGAGAGTCACTTGCCCTTAGCCGGACACGCCCCTCACGTATCATGTTTCGTTCCTAAAGTTATTTCAAAGCACAGAACCAAACCTAATCAGCGGCCGAAGGCAGAAAGGGGGATGAAAAAACGCATGTCACAGCATATTTTGTAAGAAACTGGTATCCTTGTGCCTATCGGCTCAGGAACGATTGATCACTACTAGGATTAATATCAGGGTTAGAATTTGAGCTCTACAATGGGAGGGAAGGAAGAAAAGGAAACCGCCGCGCACACCTGTTAAGTCTTTTATAAACTTACTCGTCCTGACGGTTTCAAAGAAGGGCGTTGTGGCTGCTATTTAATTTACAGTGTCTGTTGCTGGTGTCTAATTAATCTTACAGCAACTGGAAACGTGGCCACGCCTGCTGAAACTGAGATTGCTTGTACGATGAACGGCTATAGTTTGGTATATTCACGAGCGCGTTTTGTCCAGTGAACTGAGTGCGCAGGTTTTCTTAACCAAGGGATGGGGTGGGTCAAGTGAATAGTTCTGGGAACGTTTGCTCTCTTTGGGGGGGGGGGGTATATTTGTTGATATCGGGATTTCTGGCCTGGATAGAGTCGTTGTAAAGCGCGCTATTTTTGCTTCGGAGTATCGGTTTACGGGAAGGTGAGCAAGGAAAAGTCAATGGTGCATTTATGGAATAATAATAGAGATTCTCATGGTCTAACGGTGCGAAGATAAAACTTCTGGTAAGCTGGCAACGATCAAGGCCCGCATTATAATTCATGATAATTGAAGGTCATGATGTGGAAAAAGCGACCGAAATGGTGGATGCTATGCAATCCTCTCGGGTGGGGGCGGCGTACCTGGCCTTAACGGTTCCCCCTGCGACAGAAAGCAAGCATGCCCAGATTGTCCACGGGCTGCTAAATGAGACCGTCCCTTTCTTAGTACCCGTTCCCTGTCTTATAATTAGACCCGGGCAAATTTCTCGAGTTTGCACCATCATTTTGAGCTTAAAGCTTCCAAAGTCCAACAATAATAGCGCATGTTCGCGACGGTTTTTTAAGTCAGTCAAGTTCTTAAACCAGGTCTTAAACGGCCAGTTTTAAGTGTCGATAACAGTTAAAAAGGCTTACAAGCCTCATGCAAAAGACAGTGGGAAGGAAGTGCTCATCGGTGATGGGGAAAAAGGAGTACCCCACAGTTATTTAGGGGTGGATCTTTCGAAACATTCTTATACTCTTGGACAGATATGCATTGTTTAAAGTTTTAGACAAACCAGGAGTAAATTTATAGTAACAAACTGTTAAATATACATCAGCAAGATTTTTGCGAATCCTATTTTTCGCTGGAGACTATCGTTTACTGGCTGGTCACGCAATCAAAGGGAACGTACTTTCCCACGTTTGTTTACTCACCTTTCGCTCAGCAATACACTGCGTTCCACAAAAGGATCCAAATTGCGCTAGAAATGTTTTGCTATTCGGCCCACTTTTTATCTCAGGTAAGGCACTGCAAAGCTGATTCACTTACGAAGATTCGAGGGAGAATTATTTCTTGATTACGCTGATTTCGCAATCACGGGAAAACAGACCTAGACTCAGGTCCACTCGCAGACGCCATGCTGCAATCTACAAGATCTCAAGAACAGAAATTACCCATTGAACGGCCTCTCCTTTTCAAGATTGCGTGTATTTCATTAAAACAGGTACATATTAAAAGAATCTTGTTAGTTTCTCCCTTTTAACGAGCTCAAATCGATGCATAAAACTAAGGTGCACGTGTCAATTGACCCTGGGGTCAATTAGCGGTTGTTTGGGGCAAAATAACCTCAAAATAATCAATCTATTTTACAAGCGTTCGCAAGAACACCAGACTAACTTTCAGATAATGTTGAAGTACTATATCTCATTAGGTAGTAAGCGGGATTTGGGGTGATTTGGAGAATTCCCCCATATAGAAAATTCGGTTTTGATTTTAGCGATAAATTGTTGTATTTATAAGCATTATGCAAATTACGTTTCAAAATTGTGCTGGTTCGTCGATATTTTATACTCTAAATCTAAAAAATGTGCCGTTCAGAAATTGTTAGATATCTGCTTTTTGAGATTTAAGTAGAAGATTGCCAATATATTCGCTTGTTTATGAAAGTCAGCTCATTTCTGTCGCTAGGCTATATTGCCGTGTTCGGCGGCTAATTTTAGGCCCGCAGACCGTTGAAATCGAAAATCTCAAATAATTCCCAAATTCGGCCGCATTTTGAAATTTAAACCTCAGCAGTGTTATAAACTCATTAAAACCTTATTACAGACTGAAAATGAGGGTAAGTTAGGTTTTGAGCTGTGGCCACGATTTGCCGATTTTGCTCGATTTTTCTGTGCATTCGCTCTTAAACATTTTAAGCGGTACAAAACGTGTTTATGCGAATGCTAATTTGCTTACAAGCAAAAGAAAGTATTTTTATCGCAAAAGTAAAAACCTGATGTCTTTGTTGATTTCTGGTAACCATATTGGTGTCCCATGTTGGTACACCAGCATGGCATCTCCATACAAAGCTCTAGAAACTTGCGTGAAACGTTTCGGTAAACAACTAAACAACGGTGCGCCGAACAGTCGACGTGAGGCTTGGATATGTTGCACATTTATGAATCTTCTGGGACATTTTTTTTCCTTGCTTCTTTCGTTTAATGGTTTCAAAGTTTTTTTTTTATTTTTTATTTTCATTGCGTGACATTGAAAACACTCTATAGTGACAGCTGATGCTTTCTAGGAAATGTTTTGTCCTTACCTTATTTTGAATTCAACTGTAATATATAGCTGAACCGAAACAAAGCAAAATATAATTGGAATGGAATATGTAAAGGAAGTCACTCTTCCTCAGTAGTGCTTTGCCGATTGTGCTGATATACTGTTTGGTCAATTGCAAGAGAACATAATATCGCTTCATGTGAGGGGATGTAAGCCAGTATTTCCACGCCGTGGATTTCAGGTATTGGAACTTGCATTCGGGTTTCCAGTCGTTGGTGGGGTTCCGGATTCCTTGAGCTGCATTCCAGATTCCAAAGTCCAGGATTCCTCACCCTACAAGCAAAACTTTCCGGATTCCCTTACAAGGAGCGAACAAAAGATTATGTTTTCACGTTCCTTGGTATAACTGGGAAAAATTATAAGGAGCATAATTTTCTGTAACAGCACTGCTCAAACCGTGATAATACGAATATCGTGGTAAATTCAAAAGACAAAACGAAAAAAAAAAACCTTTTCATGTTTTTTTTTTTCTGTTTGTAAAGCCTCATATATTTTACGAGAATTTTGACTTTCGTAAATAAATAAATAAATAAATAAATAAATATAATTTAATCACTTATATTACGCAGGTATTCATAAAAATAATCAAATGCGCATTACATAAAAAAGCATGGAAAAAAATCTATTTACAATAAGTAAGATAAGAATATATACGCTTCCGCCATAAAAATCTAAAATATCGATAAGAAACAATTAAAATTCATTCAACCATACTCAAACTTGAAAAGGTACGTCTTAAGATTACTCTTAAAAGTTTTTTTTCAGTCCAGAGGCACACAACGATGGTTTCGTCCTATAATATTTTACCCGTTGCTGATTGGACATCCAACCTCCTCCTTATAGGGCTTTTCCCCTATAAAAGGTTGCAGTTGCATGGTGACCTAGATGCTCCAATGCAAACGAACAAAATGCAACATATCCCATTGGTTGACAGACAAAAAGTATGCCGACATTAAAGAGAAGGAAAAAAAGAAAAGCCAAACGAAGAAAGGAACTGAATGGTAATAGGTGGTGAATGATTAGCTAACGGGGACACCTGTTCGATTCCGTCCCACATTGTCACGAATAAAGAAAATCGCGATCGTCTACTTTTAAAGGTGAACCGGGATGAAAACTTCGTCAAAAGGTTTGTTTTTTTTGCAGAAATGAATCCAGAAAAATGCGTCTAAATCTGCAATGTTTATAAATTGCCTCGTTTTCTGCTCTTGATTAAGTCCGACGATAGTTAGCAGTAAAATGAAAAACCAAAAACGCATTCATCGGGGGCACCCAACGACAAGTTTCGGAAAGTATCTGTTCGGAAGACGATTTGAGATCTAGAATTTTCGGAACAGTTTTTGTAAAATTTCTTTCTTTCCTGCCTCTCCTGGGATTTTCGTACATTTAAAACATCAATGGTATAACTGTACATTTTTAACCGATTTTTACCCTAAAAAGGTCAGCTAGAATTTTCGGGAGCCTTTTTTCTGGCTGAAATTTTCGAAAAGGTAAGTTTTGATCCCTATAATTTTCGAAACACTGTAGACTTTCAGCTAGGAAATCCGAACAGATGAAAAATTCTTAGGGGATAAAAATATGCCTATATCTACCGTTTAAAGTTACCAAAATACGTTTAACAATGCTATGTTTAAGCGGTTTTGAACTGTATTCTCGTTGGGTGCCCCTGATTCATTGGTTTTCCTTCTGAGAGAATCACTTGATTTCTTTCGTTTTGGAGTTCCTATTAATATTAAATATGATAAGAGCTGATGACTGGCGATGCTAATTTTCAAGTAACCAGCTACTCTATGAAAAAAATGTTGAACTCAGGATGGCATTACAACTTCCCTCTTTCAACATTGTCCATCATTAAAGACTGATTGATTTTATGATCGGCTTTTTTCCATTGAAGAACACTCAGCAGGGCAATGGGTCAATATTCTCTACGGGAGTCTTTCTATCGTTTGATCATCTGAGAATATGTAAAGCTGAAATTATTCTAAAACTTGAAACGTAAAGAAGACAATAAATAATAGTATATTTTTGGTCCCTTTAAATTTTATTTCAACGGCAAAACCGTTTTCAATTGAAGTAAAAAAACAAACAAACAAACAAACAAACAGAACAAAATTCTTTACCCAGTGGGTATAATGTACCGTGGTGAGGCCATATGTGTGATTAGTTTTTATTATAATACCTGTTTAGTCGTGTCATTGCAGGTTGTCGAAGTACATGACTGAGAGCATTGTTCATCTAGACGTTTGCCATTAAAAATTTATTACATAAATTAAGAACGCACATATCTGGTCATAGATTCATAGCAACCAGCTTCGTTTACAATTAAGTCATTCAGAAACACCGTTACATGAAATAACTTCAAAAAGCAACGTCTCTTGAGTAAGTACATGCTATAAGGATGGCGAGTGCGGTTAAAAACTGGCTTGTTAGCTAGCCTCAGGGGCTTGAAACGAAGTCCAAAGTTGCCTCAGTGTCGATGTTAGTGAATTGCCGAAGAAAGTCACTTAGTTAAAAGTTACAATCCATAATCATTTCTGTGGTACTGGTGCCCAACGCAGCCATAACGTCAATTTAATTTTCCACCTTGGAATCAAGAACTGTTTCTCAACAGCATTCAGCTCTAGTAACCTCAAATATGTAACTTTTGTATCCAGGATATAAGGCGTACTTCGACAAGTTCGACACCAAATCATTTCAAACCGAATATACCACGAGAGACTGCAACTCCAAGGAACCCTTGCTACACAGTCAAATACCAAAGCACCCATGGAGTGAACCCCGCCGTCCTCCAGCAGCCAGTAGGTACATATCGTATGGAGCTGCAGCCAAACCGACACATCTAAGGCCACCGTTTGCGGCGCGAATGTTAAGTTATGTCCCGGATGCCGAGGGAAAATATACTGAGCAAAAATCACCTCATGCAGGGAAAGAAAAATCGCGTCGGCTCATGTATTCCTTTGATAAAAGAGAATCTTTCAGAGAAACGCATTTAACTGATCTAAGACCAAAATGTTCTGGCGATTTAAATACAGTGCTTACTACCCAGTCGTCAGAAAACGGCTCACCCAAGAAGAATTTGGCAGACGGTCAAGTGTTACAGAAGCTGGGAGTTTCATCCCCACACGCCTTGTGCAATGCGAGAAAGGTTCAGATGAGGAATAATTCAAGTTTATCGCAACTTAAACAAAATCAAATCAACCATACGTTGGATCCGCAGTCAACGTTACCGGCACTCATCACTCCTTCTGTCAGTAACAAGCAACTTCGAACCTTTACAAAGAGTTTGTGAGGCCAGCATTAGCTCGGGATCGCGAAACCATGGCGTCACACTTTACTAGCAAAAATAGGGGGCAGGTACTGGAGAGAGTGGCCCCAAGGCCCAGCACGTTGTTGTCCAAGCACTCGAAGAATGTACGTTATGTTCGCGATACCTGTTTCTTCCACCCCACTGAAGACAGAAAGAAACACTATTATATTGTTAATTCTAATTGGTTTTCAGAACAGCGGGTAAAAATTCCCAAGAACAACGTGTTCTCATAAATAAAAACGCGTTTGGCTAAACGCCTATTTACCCATAAATTACAGTACCGCGTAAAGGAAGAGTAACTGGTGGCTTCCCCTCAAGCCTCGACGAAAACATTGCAGAAGAAATCAATAGGGACAGGGAACAATAACGTCATATTTCTTGTCAAAATATTGAAACATGTACTTTCCTTTCCAACTACCGATTTTCGGCCGGGGAAGTAATTTCAGAGTTACAGGGTTAAAACAACATGGCAAAGCGAAACTAAGAAGCAGAAATTATTAAGTGTTCTACGTTTCTCAGTTATTGCAGCAGTACAACTTAACGGTCGTGACTTTAGAGATACAGGAGTTTATTATAGGGGGGAGTATACTCCTTTACAATAGCTTCAACGGGGAGGCTCCCAGGACCAAGATGGTTATCTTTTTTAATTCTGGAAGCAAGGACCAACTTTACAAAAAAGAAGAACTGGATCCTAATAAAGGATCTAATCAGCTATAAGTGTAGCCTGTTCCAGGCTCAGAAATAGTCGGGTCCGCTGAATTGAGATATATAGTACGAACACGAAAATAAAACGGGAGGAAACTTCCTTTTTCCTTTTTCCTTCCTTGAACAAGACAAGCAAGGCTGATTTTACATTCGGGAATATATATTTTATGTTAAGCAATATTTCTGAATATTTAAGAAGGAAGGCCGTGCCTTCCGAAATATTGGTGACAGAAAATATATATTCGCGACTGTAAAATCAGCCTTTCGTCATTATTAGTCTTTTTTTTAGGCTTCAAGCCATCAAAGGAGAGAATTTCACTAGGTGAAGTATATGAAAGAGTAGGGAAAACTGTCATCTCGGCCATGAGTAAAAAAAAATCTGCTGCGCATTAGATGGAGAGGCTGGACCCCTGGGCGGCGCCTCCCCGTCTAAACTTTGTTGAGTGTGAGCCAACGCCCTTCCCCCACTCTCTGAGGATAAAACAGTTGGGTCATGTCAAGAGCAAATCAAAGCAAGGCCAAGTTAAAAAATAATAAGCTGCTACATTTTTGTGGTCTCTTTAAGTTTTTTAATTGTTATTATGAAAATTACAATGTATATAGAGGACATTACACGGTGGCGCGAAGATATTAATTTTATTTTCGAGTGGCCAAACAATATTTTACGAACGAGCGCAGCGAGTGAGTAAAATATTGTTTTTGCCACGAGAAAATGAAATTCATATCTTTAAGCCGCCGTGTAATGTTCTTTTTATTATATAGACAAAAAGACATCGATAAAATAATAGAGGGAAATTATCGAAATTACGTCATCGATAAACTCACGTGTGAGATTATGGAAAGTAAACCACTCGGGTCCCGGATGTAGTTTTTATGAATTTTACGAGTGGTATATTTTCCAGTAAAACACTCGTGTCTATATAATAAAAAAGTAAATTGTCTCAGTTTGTGATTCGCAGAGCAAAACATTAGTCCCGCACTCAAAAGTTACTTTGAATTGAACGGGTCAACTGCATAAGTGTCCAATAAGATATGCATCCAGGTTAAGTTACAGTGCCGTATTTTGTAGTTGCTTAGAAAATGTTTACCAATCGACAGGCTCATCAATGGAATATTGACTTTTGGTCTTGGTTCAAGCAGTTTGTCTACAATATACCGCAAACCTCTTGCGTTGGCACGAAACCCTATCTGATAGAGGTTTTGTTCACAAATAAGAACGGTGATTTTGACGAGGTTTCTGGAACAAAACGAGACTGCTCGGCGACGATCTTGAGACTAGATCGCAAGGATCGAACGAACGTAGAACTGTACCTTATCAATCACTTTATTGTATAATTATTTACCTATCTATCTTGCTATCTATTGTTCTCATTTTTGGTTTAAAATTAATATATAGTAACTTTAAATTCAAATCTTAGGAGCTGTTATAGTATTCTCTTTCAGTGTAGCTCCGGCCCTGAGGGAAGGCTAATTTTGTTAGCCGAAATATTGGCTTCAAATAAATCAACCCTTTGCCGTACTGCCAGCCTTGCATTCAGTTTTGTCAGGAGACAAGCTACTGTAATGGTGCTCATGCGTCTCGCTGTGGGGCGAAAAAACAATAATAACAAAAATAACTTGGTTTGTAGTATGCGGTGAGTCAGGCTTTAATCAGATTCGCTTTCTAGGGAAAATAGGCCTCTTACCAAGAAAAAAAGAACGTTCCGTTTTGCTGCGCAAAGTAAACCAGTCCTTTTAATGATGATTAATAACCAGTGATAATTACGTTCGACTTTGTGACAATAGACTACGAGAACGAGATAAGAAAAATGATAACAAATAAGAATAGCTGCGGCTAAAAAAAAGAAAATAATGATAATAATAATATAAATAACAATAAAAATAATAAGTTATACGATAACCACCCCACAACAAGGCCGGGAAACTAACCCAAAGCACTCAACGGTAATCAGCTCTCTGAATGAACGTTTCTCATTTTGATTTTTTAAACTATCTAAATTTGAATGCTAACTTTATTTGTGTGTCCAAATACAATACTAGCCGAAGGACCAGCGAAGTATCTGAGTAGCGCTTTATTGTGAGCTGTCATAAAAACAACAAGAACTCACAGGGAATTTTTTTTAAATAAACTTTTCACCATATTGCATGAATAATTCTGTTCGTTATTAGGATTGACGGTGGAGATAAACTTATCTTGCTGATAATCTGATAGTAACTTACCACAACCGCTTCTCTTGCAGAAATGTTGCACTAACACTTTTAGCCCTTTTACTGGGTATATACGGGGTGTTAGCGCATGCCGTTGACGTTAAAGAATCAACCAAAGTAAAAGATGAGGCATATGGATATTGTCCTCCAGGATACTGGTGCAACAAGAAGCGGGAGTTTGACAGTGCTGAATGCCCATGGGGATTTTTGTGCCGGTCAAAAAGAAGCTATGGGGGATGCCCCCCGGGTTATTGGTGCCGGAGAAGTGAACTAGTAGTAGATCGCGAGACCAATCCAGAAGACTGCGGAGAGGGGTTAGTAGCAGCTATTCAGTAAATGTTTGTAACATCAGAAGAGTAAATCGCCCGTTCTAATTGTTCAATTAACTATTTACTATTTACTTTTGGGTGAATACTGACGAACGCTGGCGCACGATTAAAGCCGTGCGCGTGACTTATTGGGCGACCATATTTTGCTTTTTCCTCAAAGTTTTAAGAAATAAGAAAAATAGGACGGAAATTTCAAAAGCTGTGTTGTTTTTGTTTCGTAGTCAATGGTGCAGGATAAGCAAAACGATGATAAGTGAACCTCGTTCTATGGGTTGTCTCCCTGGTTACTGGTGCAGAAAGAAGAGATCAACCGATATCCTGTCGGAAAGAAATTGCCCTCGCGATTTCCACTGCGATAGCAAGAAAGAAGCTGATGCTGGCTGCCCCCCAGGGTACTGGTGTAAAAAGAAGAGGGACATGATAGAAACACCGACAAAGAAAAGTGAATGCCGCAGGGGGATGTGGTGCAAGAAACAACTCCCATCTTAACCTCCTCTAGTTTATGTCACTAGAGATCTCAGGAATGACAACCGTTTACGGTGAAGGCTAAATTGCGTATTTAATAGTCCAATTCTTTCAAATGTATTCTTTGGAGGTCTTTTTTGAGCACAATTAATTATATTCGTGGATTTGTCTGTAAATAAAGTGAGTTCTCGAATTGGTCGTGTTAATTAAAGTTTAATCTAATTCATTTGTCTACTTATAATCAGTAGAGCCTAGTTGTTTGTATCCTCTCTGTTATTTTGTGTAGATGATTCTATTAAAATAAACAACAATAAGACCTTTTTCTTTCAGTCAACAACAGATCACACAGTAGGTAAACAACTCTTGGCTATTTCAGTAGAGTTATCCGCAATTCAATAGCGCGTACACCCATTAGCTGCTCCAAAAACAAGAAAAAAAATCTTTACCTCCACTGGTTAAGCTATATACGATAGCAACACATTAACGGAACATAAAGGTGAAGTAGACAATATTTTTCTGTAAATGAAAAAACATTTTCTCTGATGAGGTGGTTTATTGTTTGACTGCAGATCCCTTACCTACGTATGCATGCATGAATGGGGGAGGGGGAGGACAAATGAGGTTTCATCAGTTGAAAAACCACTAAAGGAAACGAAATCGATCTAGTAACAAAGGTTGTTCAACAACAACTATTGGATCCCGTCAATCAATATAATTAAAACAAGTAAGGTAAACTCCTCATGCCCTCCTTAATGGGAGACAATGACTTAAGCTTAAACACTTCCTTCAAAATTCCTTATTTTTTGGCCCAGTAAATTTATTGCCTGGTTTGCTCTCTTTTCGTTCTATTTTAAGGAGAAATAGTCGGCCCTTGTACCTGCGATGCGATTCGCAGCCGAGAGAATAAAATAAGCTGCTTCGGGTTTGTCGATGTGTTAAACAAATCAGTCACTGAAAATATAGTGAGTCAAGTAAATAGCATCACTTTAATCATCAATTTCTGCAATGGCGAACATTTCTAACAAGCTGATGGACATAATTAAGGAAACTAGATGATGTAATTACACATTAAGAACGATCGTTAATTGTTAAGGCTTTTTCCTTCTTCCCAACCAAAATTCAGCTTATCTGATTCTTTTTGTTTTGAACTATACTCCGTGTTTTTGTAAATGTGAAGAAGAGAAAAATTTTCTAAGACGCTAAATGCTATGTTTCTTCCAGGGAAGAAGGAAACAGCTCTCATTTGACAAGAGCATCTCCACTCTAACAAACTTTCACGGAGAAGACAGAACAATATAACGGAAGCTCAAAACGAAAACCAAACAGGTCGCTACTCAGTGAATCGTTAACCGGTAGAGTTGGAAAACTGGTTGGAGAGTCGAGCAAATGATGCCTTGGATGTTTTGAGTGATATCCGCTATCCAGCCTTTAACATCATGAGAACCTTTAGTTATTTTTTAATTTTTTTTTTTCTCGTACGCTCAGCGGATATGCAAGCTATGAGCAGTCTGTAGCACGTTCTTAACATAGAACACAACAGATTAAGGATTGTCACTTGATATTAGCTACAGAAAGTATATTAACATTAAATGAATGGGCTTAATCCTTGTATAATTCCATAGCCAAGAAGATGGCCATTCCCCTAACTTTTTCTACGTATCTTGTGTCCACACCAAATATCGAAAGTAGAACCCATACCTTTGTATTTGGGACACGTACTAATAACTCAAATACTATGTTGGAGCAAGCAATTAAGTGTTGTTATGCCGCATTTAAAATCATTAATTAAAAGCAAGGTTTAAATCCCAACTGGCAGAAGGCTTCACAGCTGTCAAACGAGTGAAATTTGCAAAAGTTAAGCCAAATACTTCAAAGTTAAGGTTGCTACTTTCACTATCGAAAGTTTAGGGTATTACCAACATCCTGTTAGTTTACTAAACTTTTTAAAAGTTTACTAAAAAAGTTCTAAGTGATTGAAAACCGATGCTGACGTTATTATCGGCGCCATTTTCAAACATGATTCTCTATTAGCGCGAAGCGTTTTCAGCGAAAAAAGCTCAAAATTTTGAGAAAAATGGAAAGATAGTTATGTTGACTAACTGATTTATACATCTTTGCCCATTTTTCTCTAACTGGTAAATGAAATCCCAGCAATAAAAAACAAAAATAACGATTTAGACGTTTGACCGCGGTGGTGAAGAAGGCAGGCCAGTTGTCTACTATATTTGCAAGCGTTGTCGGGGATGCTACTTAATCCTATTGGAACTGCTGTTGAACAACTCCAGCGGGTGTTCAGAGGGGTGGGGAAGATAGGGTGGTTTGGTATCGACGGCTAATGGTGAGAAATATTTCTTTTACGATGACTGAGAGTAACATTTTAGTTTTTTCGGTGGTCGATGATTAGACGCGCCACATTTCTTTAATATCTCTACGTTTATTTCTTACCTTTTGGTATATTGCCAGCATTTTAGGAATGGATCACCTTTTAGAAACCGTAAGTGATTTAAAACAGTAGAAAATTTTCTCGCTAATTGTAGCAAAAGAGCGAATGAACAATATGACAGGATATACCACAGTTCAGTGTCAAATGCTTAGTGTTTCACGGCTTAACTTAAACCCCTTCAGACCCTCTTCCGACTACCCGTCCACGCTGCCTCCATCTGAAAGTTCCAAACTTAGCGTAAACATTAGTTTCTTTCTTGAATGCCTTAAATGGCTTATTAAAAAGCTGTGCGTGATATCTACTAAGCTTAATTTATTTACGTCTAGTTTTATGACCTTTTTCGGAACAAGTTTCAGTTTTCTGGTAAGGGCGGTTGAGACGGAGTTGGATTTTTGACGATCCTATCCTCTGTGTCTGCATCAGTGGTTTTCTCTTCACCAACGTGCTCCTTGTAATACGCCTTTGACTCATCTACCAAATCAAGATTTAGATATGTATTTCCCACCATCATCATCTTCTCCAGTATCTTCGTGGCCTGATCAAAGGTTGGCCTTTCACGAGGATCTTCCTTCCAACAGTCCAACATCAGCTGAAATCTAAGACAATGATTATAAGGGGCCGTGCGATACCTGCCAAGAGGGTCAAATTGGATAGACTCCTTCTTGGAACCTTTACTTTATATTTTTTTATTGGAATGGGCGATGATGAGTGCGTGCGTACAGTATGATACGCTTCCCATCTCAAATACGTTTTCATCTTATTTATCAGCATTAATATAATAAAAAACTTGTCCCTTTATAGCTAATACATTCATCTTTTTGAGGAAATTTTCCCTTACCCTTCTTATAACAAATTAAAAAAAATGGCTTTGCAAAGTTTTTTTTGGAGAAAACAAGTTGCATTATGGGAGATGTGAAAGTTACTTTGTAAAGCCTTCGATACATCCAGCTTCATTCTTAAGAATTCATCCATATTCTGGGTGGAACTATAAAGGGCAAAGAACAGGGAAAAGGAAAATAAAAAATATATTGTATGAGGTAAATAAACATGTTGTTTTTGTTGTTGATGGTGATGGTGTTTGTCTTCAACGATATTCGTTGTTTCTTGTTCCGTAAATATCCTATTAGCAAATAATAAAAACACATAACCCGTGCGCATTCCATACAAAGCTTAAATTTCTCAAAGAGTTTAATATCTTTTCAGGCTTCTCTGAAGGCTCAAGTTACTTTTTCGCCGCTTTCATTGGCTAAACTATAACTGCAATCACTGATCGTATTTACCATTTAAACTCTTACTTACAGTTCGTCAGTACAAGTATCTGGCTTTTCCATTCGATATCCTGCCTTGATTAGCCCGTACAGATCTTTGTCGTTTATTCCGGGATAGGGGTTTCCACCTGAATTGTTACAGAATTGTAAGCGTAAAATGATTTAGTTTTGTAAATGTACTTACATTATTCCAGAAGTATGCTTCTGACTAGACACAAAGCTATATTCTGTTTGGTAAAGTTACACTCCTTTATAACAAGTCAGTACAATACGATATTTTACTCTGGCTGCTTAAAGCCTTAGCTGAATGCACTCTTAGTATCAAAAGAGGCAATTGTGGCCTCCCGTGAATACCTAGACAAGACACTTCAAGGGAAGAAAACTCACAAAACAGACTCTCAAAGTGTCAAGATCTGGATCCTTCTAGGAGACTTTCATGAGAAGTTTTGTTTACAAAAATTTTTCCGTCATAACCTTACCCATTGTGCAAAGCTCCCAAAGGAGAACTCCAAACGACCACCTGGAAATAAATATTTTACTGCGCTAAAGATTAAATGTTTCATGTAGTTTCCAAAATAAATATATAAGCAAATTAGAAATTATAAAAAATCATAAGTCAGAAATCAAAAACAGGAGATACTACTAATTAACCATTGTGAACGAAACAAGCTAGGGTGCTAATTCGTAAGAAACGACCGTTTGTGTCCAGAGACTTGTTCAGCATCGACGAAAATTAGCCTTTGCCGAGTATTTAACACTTAAACAACCAGACACCTGTTTAACCGTGCAGAATTATATTTTTCTAGACTATGATGTTTCATTTGCATTGGTTTTCTCAGTGATCTTAGTTTTAAACATTCGCGCTTCAATGAGATCGTCAATTTCTTTTCATTTCATTGGCATCCTACAATCTCGAAAGACTGTTTTGTAGCGCTCTGTTTGGTTGTTCTTGAACAGCATCTTGTGTGGCTGAAAAGACCAATTCGGGAATGACAGTCGTTCCCGCATAGTGAGCAGATGTGGTCAAGGACTCGCTGCCGTACAGCAGCGTGCTCAAAACATAGGCTCTGTAGACCTGGATTTTGGTATTTTGCGTCAGTTTCTTGGTCAGGCTGGAAATGGTAGTAGCAGCCTTGCCGATGCGCCTGTTTAGTTCGGAGTACAGAGCTAGAGTATCAGAGATTGTCGAGCCAAAGTACCGGTAAACGAAGTCATGTAAAAACTCGAGTTCATGCTCCAAGATTGTAATGTTTGGAGGTGAGTCCACATCCTGAGCCATGACCTACGTTTTCTTCAGGCTGATTTTTAGCTCAAAATCTTTATATGGCTTGCTGAAACGGCTCATGACTTTCTGAAGGTTTTCGGCTGAGTGGGCGGTGATGGCTGCATCGTCGGCATATAGGAGATCCCGCGGATATTTCATTTGGACTTTAGACTTTGCTATTAGTCTGGAGAGGTTGCAGAACTTTCCGTCTGACCTGGTCTGGAAGTAGAATCCCTCTGTTGCATCCCCAAATGCTTGTTTCAGTAGGAAAGCGAAGAAAATCCCAAATATAAGGTCGTGGCGAGGACGCATCCCTTCTTCATTTCACTTCGAATATTGAAGGGGTCTGATGTTGAACCGTCAAAGAGCACAGTGCCCTTCAAGTCCTTGCGGAAAGATCTAATAGTGCTGAGGAGCCTGGGTGGACGGACTTCAGAGGGGCAGCTGTCTTCAATTCTTTGTTGGATCTAAGGCCTGCTTAATACCAATCATACATCTCCTTGATGTTGCCTGTATCAGCTGCTGACAGTATCTGATGGCAAAGTTTAAGCCAGTAGTCGTTTGCACACCCTCTGGCGGTCTGCTGAACTTTCACTGCACGAAAAATTGGATTTACAAAAATTTACCTCGGGGCAAATGTAGTGCAAAAAAGTGAAAACTAGTGGGAAACGAAAGGCAAAGATGGTAAATACCGCATTTCTATGGCAGTTTACATGGGGTTGTAAATTCGAGGGCAACTTTGTCCTTGATTTAACCGTGGTGTGCACTTTTTTGCACCAAACTTGTAAAGAGTAAATTTGGTTCAAATCAAATTTTTCGTGCGTTGTTTGCTGCGAGCGGCTGGGAGGGCATGCGGGTTTTGTTTAGTGGGGCAGGCTTTGTATGCTGCCCGGGCTCTCCTCTTTTCCTCACTGGCTAGTATCATCTCCTCGGTGTGGGAGTCAAACCAGTCAGCAGTCTTGTTGGTCTTCCTACTGAAAATGGAGAAGGCAGTATTGTTGAAGTTTTCCCATCAATCACATGCGTTACCCATTGTGCGCACGTGGAAAAGATTCCTCAAGCGCACATGCAAATTCCTCGACTTTACCTTGTTGACGGGATTTGCTCATGTCAAAGCGAGGCCTCCCCTCCTTTTTTTGTGTGATACAGTTACTTTGATGGCAATTTTGCTCTGTTGCACACCAAGGAGGGATTCGTATCGCATTCAGCACTCCGGTAACTGGTGTCTGGTGAAAATCAGGTCAAACTGTTGCCGGTGCTTAGACTTGACTTAGACTTAGGCTTGTTATTGAAGAACGCGTTCCTGAAACAGAGTCTGTGATGAAGGCATAACTCTTGAAGGCCTTGGTTGTTTTCGCTCATCTTCCCAATGCCGAAATGACCCTAGCAAGTGGGCCATGACCTTTGATCAGCACCAACTCTGGCGTTGAAGTCATCGAGAATGAACAGTTAGTAGCTCTTTCTCAGTGATTCCCTTGATGGTGATTGCCAGTTCGTGGTATAATTTATCCTTCGCTTCTCCCGGGGATGACAGAATCGGGGCATAGGCAGTGATCAGAGATACCAGAACCACTGATGAGTGGAGTTGTAGTGAGAAACCTCTTTCGCTTCCATCTGCAGATGAGGTGATGGATCCCAGCAGGGTATTTCTGACCGTAAAAACCAACGCCATGTTCCCTGGTTTCATCTGGTGATTTTCCTTGCCGGAAAAAGAGGAAATTTCCTTCCATGACAGATCCTGAATCTGACAGCCTCGTCTCTAGAAACGCGACGACGTCCATTCACAGTCTACTTGGTTCCATATCGATGATTTCTGTCTTACGAACATGACGTCAGCTTCGTCCAGGTCTTCAGAAAAGCCTGGTATTAACGTCCTGACGTTGCAAGTGTCCAGCTTTTTCATTTACAGGTATGCAAACATTATTTTCACTGACGAAAACTTACATAATTCTTCAAAAAGTAGGATAATAAATGTCTTTGATAACTGGTAGACTGGCCACTGTATGGAGATAGAGAAGCTGGCGTTTTTAGCGGTAGCCCTTTGTCAGAGCAAATCTGGGGATTGTGGGTTGTGTTTGGCTGTTATAGGGGAGGTTGGAGCTTTGCCATGGGTGGGAACATGGCAACGTGAAAATTTATTAAGCTAAATGTAGGAGTAGTAGAGGAATCTTTAATATCTTTAAGACTAATCCTTAGCCGTCTTAATTCCGCTATGAGCAGATTTTCATGATTTAGATTTGGTTTTATCAACTGAGTTGATAACTGGTAGCTAGATTGGCCGCCGTAAGGAGATAGAGAAGCTGATGTTTAGAGTGTTAGACCTAGAATCTGGGGATCGTGTGTTGTGTTTGGTTTCTATAGGGAAGGTTGGAGCCTTGTCATTAGTGGGAACATGGCAACGTCAAAATTCATTAAGCTAATTTCTTGTTTTCCACGTCATCATATTGCTACCGATAACATAGCTACCCATTAGTCGACTCTACACCAAGCTGTACTCTATAACACTTACACGTCGCTTCGGGTTGTATATTCACTTTCAAAGATCGCCTCGGGTGCCATCCACTTGTATGGTATTTTTTTCCCTTTCTTCAGTTTGTAAACCTCCTGATCAACTTGTCGCATCAAACCAAAGTCGGATATTTTCACCTTTCTATCCTCACCAAGAAGTATATTTCGAGCTGCTAAATCACGATGGACAAATCCTTCACTTGACAAGAAACTCTGCGATTGGAAAGAGAAGAAAAATATTAGTATTCTTATATCAACTCCCAATAACGTTAGCATTAAATTCAACCTTCACTTCAACTAGGACAGTAGGCCACACGTAATTTTCATCACACTGGGAAATTTAGCTGAATTGCACCTCACTAAACACAGGAATACCTAACTATTGTGTAGTAATGTGATCCTTTTGCGCGTGCGAGATCGTATGCTGTGAAGATTAAAAGTGAATGGTCAAATGGTGTTAAAACCTCATTTCCTTGTATTTTTCCCCAAGCAATTTCGCAAAAATAATTTTACTTGACTTTATTATGCCCCCGTACCATAGTGAATGCGACAGTCATCAAACAAACTTGAATCGAAAAGGTCTTTACAGAAGGGGAAAATGTATTTCTTTTATCTGTTAAGTAGTATTTATTGCACTTGGCCCATCGGAGTTATTCCTGTATTACATGAGGAATTCTGTGTGTTGGACGGAGGTGCAAAAGTGTTTTAACCCTCATAGCTTCTCTCTTTCTCCCCCAATAAACCAAAAATCATGTTAACTGAGTAAGATTTTGTTTGACTGGATCATAATTAAGATATTATAAATCTTATTTATCCTATTTCTTGCTAGTAAATTTGCTCAATTAGGGGCTTAAACGACGCCGCAATGGCCAACTCAAGAGTCAAGTCACTTCACAATCCTTGATTTAACGATCCCCTACCACTTAAAAGGAATATGTGAGAACCAAAGCTGTTTTACATATCGTATTTGCTGTCTACCCCTTCCCAAGATGTAGGAAAGATCATTTCACGGCGGGGCCAAACCACCCCCCAAAGGGCTTATTAAGGCTAAATTTACGTATTTTTTACATTTCTTTTCATTTCTCGACCAAACTTTCCAGATAGACTACGATTGTTGACCAAATGATATTAAGGTCTCGTTTGACGCAAAATGTTAAATTGTAACGTCACAAAGGCTGACGTCAACAAAATGGGTTAAATGCAGTTCATAATTTCAAAGTCAAACTTTTATCATTCGAAAGGGCTTTAGAAGAGGAATAAAACAGTGAAAACCGTTTCTGGATACGACACGAAAAACCCGAGTTATAAGACTTCAAAGAAATTTGATTTCACCCCCCGGAACCGTACGTTTCCTTAAAAAACGATCCCTCTGACATTTTTTTCACGGTTTTTGGCAAATTAAGCTGATTTTCCGGTGACACATACCTTTTATAGTTGGCCAAAATCGTATCATTTTAGATTTTTAGATTTCTAATTTCAGCAAACCAAAAAATTGATCACGTGATATTTTATGACGTCACAAAACAGTTTTTCGGGTTTTTGCGCAGTTAGGAATTTCTTTTTTCAAATTTTTCTTTTTCCTTTAGCTTTCGATAGTAAAGATGTGTTATGTGTAACTTAAACAGAAAGGGTGACTCGATAATAAAACTCTGAAATGAAGACTTATTTTAAAAAGGGGGTACCCCGTTTTTGTGCTCCGAAATTATCCAAATTCAAAATGTCATATCTCAGCGCAGATTTGAGATACTGAAAAAAATTTTCTAGCTTTCAACTTCCCTTGAATAGTTTTTTCAAAAACGATATAAAAATTTGGGAGATTTAAAAGTTTAAAATTTACGTATGAATGACGTCAGCAAATATGACGTCATGATTTGAAATTTGGTGTCATCCTATGACCAGTTTTGATTGGCCTGATGTTTCGTATTTTCAGGCCAAGTTTGGTTGGGAAAGAGTGAAAGCAAGCAAAGTTGGGGGTGGTTTGGTCCCACCGTGTTTTTTTAAGTGGTTGTATTTTGCTTGGTTTTGTGCCATTCCTGTATTATGGTCACATCATTTTATTAAATAACAGCAACAAAATAAAAAGTCATCCTTATAAATTTAAAACAAATTCCAAAGACACTTTTCTCTTTCCATATAAAAACGCACTATGATAATTGAACTTCAGTCTATGAGCGGATTTAGGATGCTTGAGCTAAAACTAATAGCTTACCATCCCTTGTGCTATCTGCCAGGCAAAACAAAGAACATCTTTAGCCGAGAATTCTGGCCTATGTGAGCTGTCTTCCTCGGAACTATCTCCAGGGACACAAACTGAGCTTTGTCCAACAGATTTGACATGATGATCCGCTGAACCCTTTCCTTTATCATCGTCATTTTCGAACGAAACATTTTCATAAAAATGGACATTTTGGATATCTGTTCCCATCGCCTTATCCAGCCTGGAGGAGTCATTACAGCTTACTAGTTCTTGAGAACCATGCTTTATATCACTCTCAGTGTCTGTTGTAGTGTTGCTTTTAGGCAGTTTGGACTCATCTGTTATGCAAGGCTGGTTTGTCATACTATCCGCTGCAGGGCGTTTACCGCAGTCGTCATCATAGAGCCTCCGATAATTTTTCTGTTGAAAGAATTGGGAGAAAATTTAAAAAAATGAGCTCTTACGGTACTTTTACCGTGATTTCAAAGTGGTTGCCCTACATAACCCGTACGATGACGATTGCAATATTTCTCTAACTGTTATGGTATTGTGATTCATAAAATCCCGTCAGCCATATTTATCAGTAAAGGGACTGGGAGACATCGCACAAGACTGGACTGTCCTAGTCCTAAAAATTTTATGTACAGTTCTACGTTTTGAATACGTTCGAGTAGAACATATTTAACAATTAATGAATGAGGCTGAGTATCTTTTGATGAATTATTATTCATTCAAAATATTTCCCCGATTCTGATTGGCTAAAAGCACTCGCATAATTCACCATAACCAGCTACTGATGACCAAATTTGGAAGAATTTTGTGTTTAATGAACCGATGACATCAAAAGGGCAGTTTTCTTGCAGGTTACTGCACCGTTAACCGAGAAAATCTGGGGACGAGGTTGAGTTGTCTTGGTTGTGAAAACAAAAATGACGGACATTTCACTCGTTTCAAGAGTAAGAACTAGGCGAAATGGCAAGAACAGCAAGAAGACAACTCGATGAGCCTAAACCCTAAACGTGCACTATCGAAGATGAACTTAGCATCGATGGATGGATGGAGGTAAGCATGTTTTAGCTTGTTTTTAAACTAGGAATTATTTTGAATGAAGTAGCTAGTTATGGTGGATTATGCGTGTGCTTTTAGCCAATCAGAATCGGGGAAATATTGTGAATGAATGATAATCATAATTAATTCTCGACTTGCGTTGGCCTAACTTACTCTCACCTTTTTCCTCTTGTTTATCAGCCAATGTCGCAGATCTCCATACGGGACATACTCTAGCAGCAGAAAGATTGGGTCATTGTTAACCCAGCAACCTAACATGCTCACAACATTCTTGTGATACCCAATTGATTTCATTATCTCAATTTCTTGCAGAAGCTGTTCTTTGGCGTCTTCATCTGTTTTGTCTAATGATGAAAAAGGTACAATTTCTATTCTGTTACATATTTCCTACATAAGAATCTGATTTCTTTATAAAGGAATCTTTGAGTGCCGATCAAGACAAAACAAGCATGTGAGGAACAATCATTCTGCATGTCTGGCCTTTCATTTTTTCCGGGGAAAAAATCATAACAAAGAAAATGACATCACCTTTTAATTAAATTATAACTAAACTACTACGAACTGAACGTTTTTTCCCGCAACATCCTTTCTTCGCTAACAAAGCTCAATAATTCGATGATTCAATGTCCAGTAGAATCAATCTGCAGTGAATTAAAAGGGCACAAGCACGATTACCAGGAATCTCTCGAAATTGTCACTCAGTTGAACGTGGATGTAGACGTTTGTTCTGTTTTTTATTATGTTTCTGTTTTTGTTTTTTAAATCCGCAAAAGGCTTTAACATCTGAAATAACAACATAACTATGACCTAAATCCTAAGCCCGTATACTGTTTCCTTAGGTTTTGGCACTGAAAGTAATAACACTACTCTTTTTTTATGTTTTTGGTTGGTTATTTTTGCTTTGTTTCTATAGCAGCGCAAAGACATTGCATGGTTAATATACTGCAAGCGTTTGATTTCAGGAACATCGAAAATCCATCATTTAGATGTCAAGAGGTGAAATTAAACTCACCTTCTAAGACTTTAATGGCTACAGTCCGACCTTCTTTGAAGTCAACCGTCTGCGTCCTACATTTGTAAAACACCCCGATTCCTGGTGACTCTCTGTAAATGCCTCTGAACACTTTTCCAAATGCACCGCGGCCAATCTCCTCCTTAAATTCTACTTGCTCAGGTAATACTTCCCATCGCAGGAGAGGAATAATGGTTGACTTTGACCTACGTTAAAGAACGTAATCGTTAAAGGTTAAAACTAAACAGAACTAAGCGCGAAATTAAACGGCCATAGCATTTGTATATTTACCGTAATGATTCGATTTAGCGCCCCCGTTTCAAATAGCGCCGCCTCTCTAATAAACGCCTCACATCAAATGTGTTCTAGTCTGTTAATAAGCGCCCCTATTGTGTAAGCACCGTCACTGTAATAAGCACTCTTGCTCTGATAAGTTCCTCCATTATTTTCAGTGATATCATTGTTAGAGATCAGGTAGTACATCAAGCTATAAGCAAATAACGCGAAAACTATCCCTTTGACTGAATTACCGAATCAGACGTATAAGATGCTGCATCCGAAAGCCTTGTTATCACACTTAAAGTCACACTTAAGCTATTATCTTTGAATAGACAAATGACATTCAAAAATTGTCCTTCCATTAGTTAATGAATAGTCACCGTATATACTTGTTACTTTCACAGTTGCTGTTATTTTCCTTTTGAAATACAGTAAAACGCCCGCTAACGAGAACCTGTGGATTAAGAACCTCCTGGCAGAAATTTCACACTTTAATACTCCAAAATACAAGAACCTGTTTAGCAAGATCAAGCAGGTTCTTTTATGCGGGTTACAGATAAATATGATAAACAATTTAACAAAAGAGTGTAACTTTGAGTTGTAAATTTAAGTATGTCAACAAGAACATACTGTACTAATCTGGATATAAATTTGGTAATAATCAGTTGCCAAGGTTATAATATAAAAAGACTTTTTGGCGGGCAATAGCTGTAGCCTTTTCTCAAATACAACATTACAACAAACTTGTTTTGATTCCGGACATTTATTGACTTTGTAGCTTCTAGTTTTTGCAATTCTCTTTGGTAAATTGATAATACACCCACTTTTAAATCAGCCAGAAAACCAGCTGCTTAGTGCAAACTAATGCTGACGTAACCCTAATCTGATTGGTTAAATGAGGCTCATGATCATAGCATGAAACCTTCGAGATAATTGCTCTGTCAAAATGGTTTTTCTGCCAAAGTTTTCACTATTAAGCTTAAGTCAACCAGCCAATACAAAACAAGGGGAACAATATAAAAACTACAAGATATTTACTCATATACAAACTTTTCATAATAACGGATAGAAAAGTACTAAAATTACGGTTTGGAAATCCTGACTCGACTTGTCTGTTTCGGAGAGGTGTGAAGCTTCTTCTCCGAATGTGATTGGCTAAATGTTCTTATGAATTAACAATGCGGTCATTGGGCTGCCAAAAACACAACCGTACGAGTCTGATTACAACACGGGTAGCTAACAACTTCTTACAGTTCATTACATTTACAGCTTGAAGAATCAATACAATGATGTGACGTGGAATTATCTCAACTAATGTTATTTATATACTTTTCAAGGAGTTTATATCAGTTGATCATAAATTACAATTTCCATTGCTTGCATTTTTATTGTTTAACAGCCATGTATTTACAATTGTGAGTAAATAAAAATGTTATATATTTTTTCTGTTAATCAACAATCTATCATCTCCTTCATAAAAATTAAGAACCTAATTAACCTACTTAGCCTAAATTGCCATACGTACCCCGAATTACAAGAACCTATTTTGCCAGACTTCAAAAAATGTTGGTTCTAATTAGCGGGTGTTTACTGTATATGTTGGTTTTGAGGTATGGTAATGTATGGTAATGGGTAATAAAAATTGAACCAAGGATAAAATTGAACCACAAAGAAATATATCAAAGCGTTGTTGCGCACATTCGGCTGTTTGAGGGTGCGAGCGTCGTCAGAGGCAAAAGACGACTGCAGAGTTGAGTCAGATTTTTCATGCAATAAATGGGAGAAAAATTGCAATTAAGGTTAATGTCACGCCCTAACAAATTACCTTCTCGGTCTTGAGTAAAGCGCTTGTTGCTTATTTTTCTCTGCTTTTCTTCGAAGCCAGAACACCATTAGAAAGACAACCAAAAGGAAGACAGCGACTCCTGCCACCAAACCGGCATACTGCAAAGCAGACAGGCTGCCGCTCAAGGAAGGTGTGGTTATTCCATCTCGTGAAAGTATAACAAAAAAGAAGCATTACATGAAAACCTAAAATCCGGCCCCGGGGAGCTGGTATGCATCTTTTTATCTAGTCTTGTGTTCTGATCATCGACCGGACTGTCGACTGTCGACCAACTATGCATATGGTAGACTGCATTATTATGAATACGCTAGTAGAGTAAGACTTAAAGCTTAAAGGAGTTTAATTTTACTTTATGAATAGGTTATTCGTCAGGCTTACTTCTATTCGGAAATTCAAGACATTTCCGATTTGTTTGTCGCACAACCTTTCAGTGAGCATTTTTATAGATTTAATTTTAAGGTTTTTCGATACAGTTTTTCAGAGGCCATATTTTTCAATCGCCTTAAAAGTGGATTTTTCCTTGTCCGATCGCTGTAAAATTTTCACCAGTAATTAGCTATGGATTGAAATTTGTGAAAACGTAGTTTTAAATAAAATCGATATTACTATGAAAGCAATAAACAAAAACTTTGAAATTGATAAAAGCTGAATTTTGTGTGATCGAGACCGAGCTACTGAAAATCCAACACTGGGAACTTAAAGTTTGGTGTTTAGCAAATAATCTCCGTAAGAAGTAAAAAGTTTTGTATGTTTGAATTCGACTAAAAGGAAAATATATTTCAAACCTTAAATTTTCAATAGCCGTGATAGATTATTTAATAAAAGCGTTATAAATGACTCAAATTATTCTTAAGTAACGTCAGAATGCTGCTAATAATATCATATTTTGATGCTAGGAAATTCTTGCGATCTTGAAAACTAACCCGTTTTCTCAACACTTGTATAAGTGCAACTTCATTCAAACTTTGGACTTTTAGCGCTCTCTGAAACGACCCGAACTAATTTTTTTTAAATGTCTTCACATAATCTTCATAATGTATATAATAAGGTCTGAAACGGTCATTGTGATTGATTAACTGCAACATCTTCAAATTTCAAGACAAACCTATCCTGCGAACCTGTCAAAAATCTTCGTCATAACATTCACTGTTTTGACGTTATGCTAATTTTTCCAAGATAATGCGCACTATACATACCTCCATGACCAGTACATATTAGTTTGAATTTATGGCATCTTTTGAATGTAAAACATTGACAATACTCACGCTGAAATGTTCTAGTCATGGATATATGTATTGTCCGCATTAATTTGGAAAAATTAGCATAACATTAAAACAAATATATTTTCTTTTTAGTCGAATTCAAACATACAGAATTTTTTACTTCTTGCAGAGGTTATTTGCTAAACACCAAACTTTAAGTTTTTAGTGTTGGATTTTCAGTAGCTTGTCTAAATCCCGCAAAATTAGGCGTTTATCAATTTCAAAGTTTTTTGTTTATTGTTGTCATAGTAATATTGATTTTACAAATTTCAATCTATAGTCAATCAGGGGTGAAAATTTTATAGCGATCAGACAAGGATAAAATCACTTTTAAAGCGCTTGAAAAATATCGGTAAGGCCTCTGAAAAGCTATACGTCTTAAGTCAAACTCTAACCTGAATTTGTTGCAATTTCCAGTGTTTTTGATCTGTTACTTTCTCCCAACTCATTCCAGGCAGACACTTCGATCACATACCGCGAGTTACAGTTTAACGTCAGAATGAACGCATTCTCTTTGAGATCATTTATTTCATGCCATATTGCCTCTTGCTTGTCTTCATAACTCAGTCCGTAGTAAACTGAGTACTTGGTCAGCGGACATCCGTTATCAGCGGGGGTGCTCCACGTAAGGTTGACGTCGCAGCCTGATGTTTTGGTTTTCTCCTTCAGTATGGTAGGAGGTAATGGTACGCCTGTAACTGGTCAGGTTTAAAGAGAGAACTGATTTAGGGAATTTCTCTATTCATTTAGATAAGTTTCTTACCCTAATTAAATGAAATTAATCGGAATTGAAAGCTTTGGAAACAGGGACAGATGCCCAGATTAGCAGACTGAGAATCTTGAAATCGAAACCTCGACGACCACGCAGTGAAGTTCATGTTAAAAACATGTGAATTTTTCACAGGGATTTCACAGAGTTTTCACATAGGTTTTCACATATTATTTCAAAGAGATGTGAAATGATATGTGAAATAATCATGTGAAATACCTGTGAAACGGGCTCCAAGTTCTCACATAGTATTTCACGGGCTGTGATGTGAAATACCATGTGAAAAGCATGTGAAACACAGCTTACAAGGATAGATTAACCATCCTGTGAAAATGGCTGTGAAATTTTCTTACCATGTGAAATACCATGTGAAATGGGTGTGATCTGTGAAAAACCATGTAAAATGATTATTATGTGAAACTGCAAACGCCCTGAGAAAGGTTAAAGAAATGTAAATATATATCAAAATATAATGAAGTACACTTATTAGTGAGAATAGATACATTTTAATAAAATATTTACCTGCATACAGCAACAATCATGTATAGGTTAGAGGTCAAAATTAAATTTTGCGCTAAATTAAGGAATCAACTATATACCTAATGATTAAGACAAAATCACGTTCATGTAAGGGTGTGAACAGCAAACAACACCCACAAAATATAGGTGCAGGGTATGACTATAACCCTGCGTTACAAAATTTTTCATGCTTAATTTTGGGGCTCAAGGATTAAAGGTTGACATGAAAATGTTCTTACAAGGTTCATGGACTTTTCATGGCATTGTAATGACCCATAAGGGCACTGCATGTCTCGCATTTTTAAACAGGGTGCAGCCTCTTTTGAGCTCTTCTCATGACCTTGAACAGTTTTCCATGACCTTATAAGTTAAGCTGTCACTTTCGAAAATTTTCATTTTGATTAAGGGTATTTTTTGACATAACTCAGTTCAACAGTCAACCACTGTTGCTTGCCAAAAAATGTGCCATTCATGGAGATAACTAAAGAGACAAAGGGTTTCCAAAGTTCGTTGGAAATTGCGGTCGTTCACCATGAACTTGACAATTTCATTTTGTAGGTGTCAATTAAAATGCGAACTGAATCAATTCATAGTGTTTATTTACATGAATCAAACTACTGGCAATTTTCCACAATATGATGATTAGCCTGCGAAAACAGCCGTTTCTCCTCACTCTTCGCCACAGGGGACGTTTTGCGAGGAGGAATCGGTCTGGGACTCAGCGACAGAAAATCCATACTGATACCGTAAAATCTGTCCGGAATCCGGTCAGGAGCGCTGATTGGTCACGGAGTAGTTACATTATTGTTTTAGGTATTGTTTACAAATGACAGACAAAAGACAAAAGGCTACAAAGGTCAAATGTAAACGCTAAGAATCTCTAACAAAACAATCAATATTATGAGCACAACACTTTGCCAAAATCGACCAGGAGAAACGTAAAATTGAACATATTTGCATTTGGATCCCCATGACTATTATTATGTAAACATTGATTTATGTCATCAGTATGGAACTTCTGCCGCTGAGTTGCAGACGTTCCTCTGCGGGAAACGTCCCCAGAGGCGAATTGAAGAGGGAGGAGAAACGGCTGTTTTCCCGGGCTATATAGACCTCGTCACGGTTTTCGACGCCAGTTGTCGAGTAGGAAAACTTGTGAGAAATTACAGTGTTTGTCGTGAGAATCTAATGTCGCATAATTTCCGTAACGATTGTGCTAAAAAATTTGGGGGAGTACCTGTGCTTAAATTTCTCCAGAGGCTTGCTTTAGATTTTCCATATGTTTCTCTCTAATTTTTCCCGGGACTTTCTTACAGACAAAATGTATAGAAAATTTTAAAAAGTGGTTCTGGGTCTTCTACCGCATGTGACGGTGAAGCTTTAGTTTACAATTCATATTTTTTTCAGAACAGCCGTTCTACGGAAATTATTCGACAGTAGATACTCATACAAACACCGTAATTTCTCACGCGTTTGCCTAATCGTCAAGATGGCGTCCAAAACCGTGACAAGGTCTGATATAATGTTTATCAATTTTCATATATATTTGAAGATAAAATTTCATGTCCTTTCATTTTTATTGTTGAATACAAAACTCTCTTTATTCTGGCATCTTAAATCCGTTCTATTCTAAATACCCATCCCAGAAAATTTGGTAATCACGTGACCGTACACCGACCGACCGACCGCCCGAGCGACCGTCCGTCCGCCCTACAGGAAAACCAGTGCTTACTTTCACACTTCCTAACTGCTAGGCATAAATAGATTGTGCTCGGCAACTTTTGAGCAACTTTTAGCGTTTTCAGCAACTTTTTGTACCGCGAGCAACCTAGAGCAACTTTTTTCTTCCTTGAAAACTTTTGAGTCAACAAATAGTTAAAAACTGACCAAACTATCAAAAAGGTCTTTATTAAAAGGTTTTTATTAAAACTGGTCAAAACTAAGGATGTCGTACGTTCTTACAAATAATTTATAAAATAACACGAACTGGACAGCAGCTATATATCTAACGGGCGCTTACATCCAGCGGTTATTCGCTCCAACAATAGAGCTTCCCGCCCGCCATCTTGGTATTTGCTGCAGTGCGAGGCGTCACAATTAGAAGCTGAAATGTCTGACGAGGAAAGTGAAAATAATACAGGTATTGACCCCATTGAGGCTACCATAGCCGCTGGGGCAACTCTAAGTAGTCCTGTAAGAGCTTCAATTTCTAGAAGTTTAACGATCAACAAGATAATGCCCTAGAGGACTACCTTGAGGCTTCAGTTATGATAAGATACAACAAAAAAACGCAATGCAAAGAGGCTGTAAACTTTAAAGTTTACGACCTCTTTGCATTGTTGTATCTCATCATGATAAGATAAGATAAAGGCTGTAAACTTGATAACTGTCTAAAGTGTATAGTCAGCACTATGATGTCTATAGCACACATTGTGACGTTTACTCATTAGAAACGTCATTAGAAGATACTTTCTATTATTAGTTACGCTGAGCTTAAAGATTAATTTTTTAGCAACTTTCGAGCAACTTTTGAGTGTATTGTCAAGCAACTTTTGATGGATTTACTAGCACAATCTATTCATGCCTATTTGGGAGCCCAGGAGAAAACTGATTGCACATCAATGTTGTGATCAATTGACAGCTGTCAAAACAAGGTATCCGCTGACCAGTATCACCTGACCGTATGGCGGGCTCAGGTGTCGACCCATCGAGGTCGAGTAATTTTTGAAGTTATCCGCTGACAAGTTACTAGTTTTCAAATGATCGCAAGCTCAATTTTATTGTTTTAAAAATTCATTTTAAATATGTTGTGTTTATATCTATGTGTATGTGTATGTTTATGTCTATGGCCCTGCACTATTAAGATTTTGATTTCAAACTAACCTCGGACGCTAACATTCTGCCAGTCATTAAGAAAAACAGGTGGGGGAGACTTTTCCTTACCAAGGTCACGCGTTGGTCACGCTCTACGACCAATTTTTATGCTCTGATTGGTCAAAATTTGACAGTGAGTTCATGCGGAAAATTTATGCAGCATCTTGAAACTTGTTTACTTTGACAGGTGAAGCTGCCAGAGTTTTGTGTCAACTTCTAATCTTTTTAACGGTCTTTTTCCACTGGATGTACAAAATGAAATACAGCTGATATCAAGAGTCTTCTGTTATTCATGGCTAGTTTGCTTATTGTTTTTTTCGGTTGAGAGATACGTCGCTTGTCAAAGTCGGAAATCCGATTTCGGATGGCATCGTTTTGGTTTTTCACCTTGCTTAATGCGTAAGAGGGTTCAAAAGTCTCAAGCGATTCTGGCCTTACTCAGATAACTTTCGGGAGCTGCATCTCGAATGGTAAGCCTGAGTAATTAATGTATTTGGTGTTTGTTTCTTTATATCTAATTTCATGAAGTCGAGCACAGTTTATGCTGCAAGTTTATGCACGTTTGTAAGATTTGAGACAATGATCTAACCTAGTATCAGGTCTGACATAAGCTTACAGAACTTTAAAAAGCCTTTAGATATATCTTCTCACCGCAAATAGAAAGAAAACGTTCCGAAGAATATTTAGTTATAAATTTGGCTGTTGAAAGAAAACTTTGAGCGATTTTCTTGCCTCGAGTTCATCTTTGAAAAAAGCAAACACCAGGAGGCCGGCTTAAAACACAAACGTAAGCTTTAAGCTTTATAAAGACTCAGGATTTTTAGAAACACTTTAATACCTGTCGTCGTGAATGAAAACTGTTGTCTCTGTAAATGTTTCACCGAATTATATTTCTTTTATTGATTGTCAGTAGTCTCTCTGGCAATTTTAATCACTGTGCCGTTTGTTTTCAGTCGTTCATGGACATCGCATGCAGGAGTATTGAAAATGCCGCGCGTATCAAACGCTTTTCAAGATTACACATCGTTATAAACCATTAAATAAAAAAAAATAATAAACGTAATAAATTTTTTATTATGTTGAAGAGTAACTCTATTAATTTTCAATGCAAGTTTGGCGCTCTTCAAATGTGAGAACCGGCTGGCCGTATGGGTGTTTTTGGACATTTTTTGAACGTTTTCGCTAAAAGTCCATGATTGATCGTTCTGAATATTGACTGAGTGCATTTGTTTTGAAAAATTGTGAAATACTGCATTCTTTCCGAGGTCTGTATAATAAATAGTACTGTTTCACATAGGATGTGGTGCATAAAAAGTATAAACAGGTTGGTTTACACACCCCCAGATTTGTTGGCAAGATTTTGTAAAGTAAACATGTCGAAACCGAAAAGGTAGATTTAAGGCCTGTTTTGTTTTCCAGGCCATAAATCTACTGTGATCAAGAGCCATTATGGCTCTTAAATGGGATCGAAGATGATTGCTTTTTTGGGTGTACATATAAAGTTATCAACTCGATGTAGGATGTCTCACTCTAAAATCACTTAGCCTTTCCGTCAAAAGTCACATGAATATCGAATGTGCCCTTAAGTTAACTGATTTGTGGATTACAAGTTTATTGTTTGATTTAAATCATAAATTTATTGATGGGAGCTTCGCTTTTAGCCCTGGCTTAATCTATATATTAGACTTGACAAGTCGGTGTCTGCCAGAATATTGTGTACAGTGGAGTGTAAGCTTATTCAGGTAGGATTCCATCGACCATTTGCAACAAAACCTACAGCCGGTGATGTCTGCAGTAAACAAAAAATGACCAATGAATGGTATATCATTGCATCTCCCCCTAAAGTTTCTTGTTCACATCAGCAAGATTTAACTCAAATCTACAGCTTCAAAATTAGTATAACTGTCGAAATAGTCGACCATCAGATGACCTATGTAACAACGAACCACAGTCGGCAGGAACATATCTTTACCTTCCACAATCCAGCTGACTCATTGTTCTCCAACTTGATTGGAAGCACGCTTCATATGAACAACAAAACAAATGAACAATCCGCCTTTAAAATAATGTCGATTTTGGGTGCAAAATATATAAACTCCTGTTGGAAAGTCCGCGTGAATTTGAATTGATCCAACGGAACTTCATTTTTCGCTTTTCTATTGGTCCAAAAGGCGCACGTGACCAGTGGAGTCACTTAGTGGGAGACTGTTAACCAGTAAGTTAAACATCAAACATGGAAACATGGCGGGTAATCCGTTCGGTGACCGAGTTTAGTGAGTCTAAAAAGCAGTCGTTTTAAGAGCTGAATGAAATATTCCAGGAGGAAAAATTTGCATTGTTTTTTGAAAGAAACGTTGGCCTTAATTACTTACTCAGCTGTAACGAAAAACGAGTTGTGAACATTGTTTGGACTAGCTCAGGTACGAGTCAAGACCATTTGCTTTATACTACATACAATTGTGGGTCAAAAGCTTTTTTCCGGTAAAAAAATTCCCACAAAATATGTCAAAATTTATGGAGCGATCGTTGTGTTCGCTGTGGTACATGTAGACTTCAGTTTTATGGACAGTGATTTAGCAACTCGAATGAGATTACAACATGTAACATCATTTTTAGCAATAAATTAATCGCAGGTATGGAATCCAAGCCGTATAGAAGAGTGTTCTTTCTCATCAGACAAATCAATGGGAGAATGGACTATATTTTAGGCAAAACGACTACATACAAAATTAATATGTATTAACAAATTACTGTAGGATTTCATACATTTTTTCACAGGGCTGCATCAACCTCAGAATTCATTTAATTGAAAGAAACCCATTCTTATTTCTCAGGGTGTTTCATATGCTTTTTTAGGCCCATGATAGAAATTTAGAATTTCACAATTTTTTCGCAGGGTAGCTTTCATATTTTAAAGCAGTGATTTTGATTTCGCAGGATGTTTCTTACAATCAAGGGATATTTCACATGTTGTTTCACACGGCTTTTTCAGTTCGAAAAGTATGTTACAATTTCACACATTTTTTCAAAGGGTAGAATCAACCTTGTGCAAGAAGGACTTTTTATTTCACGGGGTGTTTCACAGGATGTTTCACATCCATAAAAGTCTCACAAGGTTTTCACATAAACTTCACATAGGCTTCACAGGGTTGCTCCCAGTACTGACGATGGCGGCAACGGGAAGGTCAAAATAGTAAGAGGTTTAATAAGCAAAAATAAAACTTTGCTGACGACCTGCAAGTGCGTCACATTTTCTGTAAAATTGTTTGCCACTCTGAATAGCTACGATCTAAACTGCGAATAGCCGTTGAATCGTGCCAAACACTCCGCTAAAAATTGGAAACAATACACTGGGCTAATCTGTAAACACTCTCCATGCATAACATGCAAGACTCAATCACAAGGGGTAGTTTCGAAAACGAAGCACTCGAAAACGAAGACCGAAGCACGGAGCACCCAAATCTCGAAAACAAAGACCCCTAAATCTCGAAAACGAAGCACCCAAAACGCGAAACCACTGTAGGTTTAATAACTACAACTTTACGTCTTACATGACGCAATCCGAATCAGGTGGAGGCAGCGGATGCGTCCGCACCTTCAAAGGTCCACAAAATCCATCCCAAGGTTTTATAAAAGCCTGCCAACTATTTAACTGAACTTTTCTAGATAGGATATACTGTATTAATTTTATTATTAGTCTCGCTATACTTGATACATCTTATCTTAATATGCATTTTTTCGTACACATATATGCTTATGCAGACTTCAAAACTGTCCGTCAGCAGATTTTGGCGTATTCAAGTACGCGTGAGCAGTAACGCAAAAGATCTGAAACGAGGCTGAAAACGGAGTGTGAGGCTCGCACGTATTTCTTACGCCACGCTTTACCGACTTCTTTACTGATTTTGAGAAAAAAAACCGATTGTTTTGCAGTCTAACATATTGGATATCTATGACACTACGTGATGCCCTGATCAAATCCAGGCAGAATCTGTTCTAGGGTAATAGCCTGGGACCAGGCTCTATGGTGGGGAGCAGGAGATGCACTTTAAACTCCATAATCAAAGCTCTACTCAGCGCATCCTGACACGAGACTCAGCGAGACTGATCTAACTTGGCAATATTTTAAAAAATATCAGAGGTGTGAAAAAGGCAAGGTGATCAGTGGTGAAAGTGTTAAAAACAAATCTCACTCTTAAAACTTGTCCTTTGGGTGCTTCGTTTTTGAGTTTTGGGTGCTTCGTTTTCGATCTAGGGGTCTTCGTTTTCGAGTTATTGGGTGCTTCGTTTTCGAGTTTAGGGTGCTTCGTTTTCGAGATTTGCGTGCTTCGTGCTTCGGTCTTCGTTTTCGAATGCTTCGTTTTCGAAACTTTATGGGTGCTTAGTTTTCGAAATTTCGGTGCTTCGTGCTTCGGTCTTCGTTTTCGAGTGCTTCGTTTTCGAAACTACCATCACAAGGTCACGTTAACTTGAAAAGATGAGAAATATCGAAAAAGGGAATCCAGTCGCTACAACACACTCTTCTGTTTGGGACGTACTTATGAGGTGCATTCGCCCATTTTCATAACTACTGTTTGAATTCTACTTTAAAAATACTTTAAGGATCCTAGAGACCTATACATCACTGTTCTCTCGATTAGCAGTCGTCAACGGATACCCCACCTCTCAGCATTTCGGCTTGGTCGTTGGACTTTCTGTTAGTCTTAAAAGACTGTACTCCTTAAGCTATCGCGTCCAGAAATTCCTCCACGTTATTAATCTATTAATGATTTCCTCTTTTACAAAGGGCCCAGGAAGGAAAACGTGAAAGTAGTATAGGGAGTACCATATTATCCGATTCTTTTTTAAGTGGAATACACGACGACGTCATAGTGTTTTTTTCTTTATCTTATGAGTAAAATACGGAGGAATCTCATTAAGAAAACTACTAAGTCAGCCAAAGCCGAGTCTTGACTTTCATTAAGATAAGGCCGTGTGCTAACCTTTTGGATAGGTTTCCTAGTTATATTTCTTATCGATAGTAAGAAAAGTATTCATCATTAGCTGATTCATGTTGCGAGGAATTAGTGCAAGTTCTACCTCCTGCCGCTTTCATTGTCCAACAAATTGTACCAATTCTGGTTCACTGGTTCTTGGCGCGCAAATCGTGCATAGTAATGAGGACGACGGCAAACTAGCTCTTTCTTTAAAAAAAAAAAATTTTACTTTCCCTCCCCTCTTTTTTGCTCATTTTTCAGCCTTTATCCACCCCACATCGAGCACACATCGATCCTTCACCGATCCACCCCTCATGGACCCTACATCGATCCCTCATCGACCCACCCCACATCGACCCTACATCCTCCTTTAGTTTCAAGACAATTTATTTGTCATGATACCAACCTTGAAAAGTGAAGCTGTACACCACCACCACATCTCTATTGTTTTTCCTCCACCACCACCACCACCACATTTCTCTGTTTTCTCCCAAGACCACCACCACATTTCAATTTTTTCTTCCACCACTACCACCACCACCACATTTCAATTGTTTTCCCTTACCACCACCACTGCATCTCTATTGTTTTCCCTCCACCACCACCGCCAACACCACATTTCCATTGATTGCCAACATCATTATAAAGCAATAAAATAATCCATTCCATTTTGTTTCAGATTTAAAAAAGTGGTTTCCCTTCACCATTGTCGCCACCATCGCATTTCTACCATTTTCCGTGACACGAACATTTTGATGAGATAGGAAGATAGACTTAGAGTCCAGTCTTCTAATAACGTGAAAGGGACCACCTGTTTCAGGTAAAAAGAGCTAGCTGTTTACGAAAGGCTAAATCAGGTAACTTAAGCAACAACGACGGCGACGGCTACGAAAAATTCACTTGAAAAGTTAATTCGCGCTGCTTCAAACTTCAAATATTGGCAAATTTTTCTGGACTTGAATTCTAAAGGACTCATGTATCGAAGTTTAGAAAAAGAAAAGGGAAGTCGTTGTCCTGTGTTCAAGTCTTCCACGAAACTTGAAATTCTGGTGAAATCAGGCAGTTTCACATCGTTGTCGTGCAGTGACTGCAAAGAAATCTACAAAAGAGTGTGCTGCACGTGCAAAGTTGATGTTTTTCTAATCTACACCTATATCTTCTTTGCCGTTCGCCGTCGCCGTCGTCGTTGCTTAAGCATCCTATTAACCGACGCGACCGACATGTCTTGCATTAAAAGTAAAAGAAAATTTGTAGCCCCTTTAAGGATCATGCATCCTCCTTTTATGTAAACATGACAAAAATTAGCACCAAATTACAGCGAAGCTTGTCCTGGGCTGAGAAATCAATAACTATGAATTGTATCCAAACTTACCTCTCCTAACTTTAAAGTTCCATATCCGGCTGTCATCAAAACTGCTCTCAGTGCTGTCGGTGTTTGCATTTGCAGCAGTAAGTGAAGTAACTGCGACTTCATACTCCTTCCCACAACCCAGGTGCAAGGTGTGGTTCGTACAATTTTTGTCCACGGGTACGGAGCTCCAAGGACTAGTCCCTGCCAATGAAATCTTTCTGTAGTAGACTTTATACCCCAAGACAAAACACGCCCCATTCAACGGTGGTTCCCATATGATAACAACGGTTTCTCCTGCTACTTCCTTGTCTTTATTCAAAATTATAGGAACACCTGAATAAAATAAGTGATGCTAAATATCTTGAGACTGAAGCAAGGGTGATAATACAATCATATGAGCACCTTTTTTTGGAAATATAGAGAACATATTGGGCGAAGTTTAGGTCTGGAAATTTGCTAGAAAATGGAAATAAAAACCCATGAAACTTACCATGTAACGAGGTGTTGTTGTCCTTAACTGATGCACACGAAGTTTCGAGAAAAACAGTCTGTTTCATCTTTCCTACATAGTATATAGTAGGAGGCTGACGGCAGCGTCGCAGCTCCGATCGACCCTAAACCAGCACCATTTTTTTCGCGAAAATCGAATCCAATCGCTGAATAAACGCGCCAGGCTCGTGGAACATGAAATTTTCTTAACCCTGAAACCAATGAAGCATCTCCAACTAGCAACGCAAAGCCAGCAGGGTCCGTAGATTACGTTAACCTTCTAAAGTGACGGCCCAAAGCCGTTAGGATTACAACTGGTCCAATTCAGAAATGGCATTTAGCTCGGGGCGCCTGGTAACGAGTATAATAAGTTCCTGCGGAGGAAAGTGTGTCGCCGGACGATGAGTTAATTCCTTGAGCACTCTGGGACTCCCTTCCCTCCACGGGGACTTAATATACAATATACTCGTCACTAGGGGCCCCGAGCTCCTTTGGACCAGTTGTGATCCTAACGGCTTCGGGCTGTTATTTTAGAAGGTTAACATAAGAGTTCTGCGGAACCTGCTGGCTTGGCGTTGCTACCTGGAGATACTTCAGTGGTTTCAGGGTTTAGAGAAATTCATGTTCAACGAGCCTGGCGTGTTTATTCAGCGACTGGTTTCGATTTTCGCGAAAAAAAAAATCGTGCTAGTTTAGGGTCGATCGGAGGCGCGACGCTGCCGTCAGCCTCACTACTTGCCACTTTATACTATGTAGGAATGATAAAGCAAACTACTTTTCTCGAAATTTTTCTAGCAAATTTCCAGACCTAAACGTCGCCCCATGTGTTATCTATATTTACTCATGTTATGAAACCCATTCGTGACACAAACAGTGAGCCTGGGTTACCTGTGATTTAATCACTTTCGTAATTGAAGTCAAATGTTTTTGGGCAAACAGAGATAGAACTGAAAGCTCTTTGAGAGTTTCAAATGTCTTTCAAGACTTCCTTACCTACCTCTTACTTTGGCAATTTCATCACGGGACAGTGCGGTGCCAAAAACATACAAATCCATCACTGATCCGTAGAACTGGCGATCATCCCAGTGACCGTCGTTGGCAATCTTGTAAGGGTTACCCGTAAGTGTGTAAAAGTTAGTCCCAGGAGTAAACGATCTGTTACCCGCTATGATGCCGTTAACGTAAAGGTAGACATTACCTGTCATGTGGTTCCAGGTGATCGCTAGGTGCGTCCAGGTATTAAATGAAACTTTAGTACTTGAAACCACCCACCATTCAGTACTGCCGGAGCTATGGCGCGTAAATTCCAACCGATCACCACTGATGTAAAGCTGAAACTGCCATGGATGATGCCAATCGTTATAGATTGTCTGTGCTCCACATAAAAACCGCGTTTGTTTTATCCAGCAGCAAATGGTAAAACTCCTGCCGTTAAGATGAATTGCTGGGGCAGTAGCGAATGAATGTTGAACAAAACGAGGAGCCGTGCTGCCTGAACACCATCCTTCGACAAAATCTAGTGATTTGCTAAAGCTACATTAAAGGAAAAATTAATTAGAAGATATATTACTGGCTTAAGTCCTCCGCCTAATTTTTCATAACCGGCTTGCATGGGTCTGTGTTCAGGACATAAATATACTGTTAATGATATGGCATTTATGTTCCAGGTTATGCAGATGTCGAATTAAGGCTGTTATTCACCTCGGCCTTCGGCTTTGGTGGGTAACATTCCCCTCGATCTCCATAACTCTTCACATCACACGAAAGGCAAATTCAACGATTGTTAAATATACAGCCCGCCAAATGCGGAAACTAAGAAACATTCTGTAAGATTGACAAGGAAGAATGGTATTCGGTTGAACGAAGTCAGCCTTCTTTGATTTCCATTTGCTCCTATTTACAAGCTCCCTGCCTGCTATATTTTAAAAAAAACAATTTACATGACTCACTTTATATTTTGATCCTTTCCATCTAGCCGCCAGTGACCAAGGATTAACATCTCTAAAGGACAAAAAGGCATTTATTATAAGGAAACTACGGAAACCTTAAGCAAAGGAAATAGGAGACGTCTGCACGCAGATTACTGAAGACCCCTTGTCGGAATATTCACAGACGAAATCATTACAGGCAACTTCTACAATCTGAAGGACAAACGGTTGCGGGCAGAGGGGGGAGTGGGGCGCAGTCTTGTCGAACCAGTTAGGAGCAGACTTTGAATTCCTTCTTCTGGTCTTAGCCAGAAGAGATTTCATGCTCTTCTTGTAAACTTTGCAATTATTTCGACGGTAAACCTCGCGTCCAAATGAGCTTCTCAGGGATGATAACTGAAGAAATCAACTCACAATAGATATTTTAGTTACTTAAATAAAGAGATATTTAATCCAGCGGAACGTGAAGTATTTAAACAAAGTGTGAATAAGAGTCTCCCAGGAGTAGTACAGCTACTAGGGGGAAATAATTTTGCAGCTCTTTTTCAGATTGTGATTCAATTTTAGCGCATCTTAGTGAGACAGCTCTTTAACAGTTATATAAATTGGCCTGTTACCCAATAACAACAAAATACAAGCAAGCGAATATCATTCATTATTTTTATCACGTAGTTGAAGACGCAAATAATTAACCGACAGTGTTACCTGGTGGGGGCATTCTACAGCATCTTAACTTTTCAACACAAGCCGATCCTGCTCAGTTGTTTTAACTCCTGAGATATCGTTCATGACACTCAACCAGGGGTGGATCCGGGGATTTTTCATTCGGGGTGAGGGTAATCTTTGATTCAGAAAACATTTTTTGCGTCTAATTATTTAACAACTACGATGGCGACAGCGACGGCAACGAGAACGTAAAGAAGCAATAGGCTAAGGCACTTTCCACACGTATCCGTATTCGTTTGAAAACGCAACTTTTTTCTCCGTGTTCAAAAAAATTCGCGTCCACTCGTAGCGTTTTCGCATCGTTTTCGTCCGTCCACATGTATACGATGAATCGATTTGAAAACGATAATTACCCGCCTGCTCATGCTTGAAGTGTACGTGTTCGCTATTATAAGCCCGCGAAATAATAAATTGGCGCCATCTTTGATTTTCTTTGGTGTGGGTTTATATTGTTTTGACGTTCTTCAAAGTCGCAGTTTTAAATGTCAAAATCAGAGCAAAAACAAAGTCAAACTAAAGGGAGATCCAACACTGCGGTAGCGAAAGTAGCCTGATAATGTTGTGGTGCCTCCTGGAATAATCTGCTTGAAGAATTAGCAAAGCTAAATTTGCTTGAAAACAAGCAATTAGCTTAGAAATAAGCCCAAGTATAAAAGACAAGAAAGGGAAGCGCCTGTCCGCCATCTTGAATAAGTTTCTAATATTGCGCGGAGTGGACTGGAACTGAAAGTGTGTCCTCAGCATTTTCGATACCGTAAGTCCTTTATTAAGCCCCCCGCTGGGGGGAAATTTTTTCAAGTGCATTTTTTGAGGGAGGAGGGGGGCTTGTTTTATTTAGTGAAATGTATCAACGGGAACAAGGTTTCTCGAGGACGGACTTGTGGTTATCGGGCGCTATACTGCTTTTTCTAACAATAAGAAAATGGTAACAATTCTCCACAGAGAACTAGAGCGTAAAGTTGAAAAAGTTCAACACATGAAGTTGGAGGTCATGCGGTTGAAGACCAAAAACAATGAATTTCTAGCCCGAATAAACCATAACTTCTCAGTCCATGTTAATTGTTTTTGAAGAAAAAGGATGGAGGGGAGGGGAAGGGGGGAACTTAATAGAGAGGGGGCTTATTAACTTTCATCCTCTGAAAAGGGAGGGATTATTAGAGAAGGGTTGCTTAATAGAGGATTTACGGTAAGTTCCGTTTTCGTTTGCCCACACGTTCACGTGAAAACAGCGTTTTCAGAAAGTTCCACTCTGGAGAGCGTTTTCGAAAAGCTACGTTTTCATTGATCGTTTTTATCGGATACGTGTGGATGGAAGTCGTATCCATAAAGAAAAATTTAATTTGCGTTTTCAAATGAAAACGGATACGTGTGGACAGGGCCTTAATAAGCAAAACAACAATGCACGTACATCAAACATTTTTGTACATTTCTCTGACGTCCCTACACGGATGTGACGAGAAATTCTCTCAAGTGACGTTTTACGACGTTGACGTGACGTTTTCTATTACAAGCATACTACGGTACCCTCCCAAAACCACATTTTTGAATGTGCCTGAAATTTATTTGCCAAAATGTAACGCGCGTTTCAATAAGGAGTAGTCAAAGAAGTAGTGAAAAACAATTACAGGTCTCGCTTAAGTGAAATATCCTCTTTTCTAGTAATATACACAAAATTAAAAAAAATAAAACGGTAGTAACAATTACCGTAAATCCCCTATTAAGCTCCCCCCCCACTCCCCTCTCAAATAAGTCTCCCCTTTTTTCTGGGAAAGAAAGTTAATAAGCCTCTACTCTTTTAAGGCCCCCTCCCCTCCTCTTTTTACTTTTTACTAACAAATGCTAGACTGTATTGATCAATCACAACGGTATACAAATTCTTGTGAACTGATCCGGGATACTCTATTCGCCAACTGGGAAGTTTGTAATGTTTTTGATCCTCGGCTGCATGACCTCCAACTCTTTGTACTTGAGCTTTTACTCTGTATTCTAGTCCTTTGTGGAGAGCTAATACCATCGTCTTTGCTAAATTAAATAAGCCTCTCCCCAAATGAGTTTGAAATAAATAAGCCGCCCGGGGGGTGCTTAATCGAGGATTTACGGTAGTTTCAAGGGAAAATATATGCATTTTGATTTTGTGTTTCATTATTTATATAGTCATATAGTTGAGTTAACTTACCAAATGCAGATACATGCACTTTAGTCAGTAAGATCAGATAAGCCTGCCCAACGAAACCAGATAGATGAAAGTCAAAACGATTGACTGTGTTGGATTTTTTCATGCGCTAACATTCAAATACTTATACAAGACAATAAAGAATGGACATGGGATTCAGCTAGAACTAAGAGAGGATAAAGGGGACAGAGAAGACATCCTCCATACACACCCTATTCCATAAGTAATTCGTCTCGAGTTATTTTTAAGACCACATATCCCAAGGGGGATTAGACAACAGCCAACCACATTGCGCGAATGTGTTCCGCCTGGATGACCCACGCTCAGAGCCACGCGTCCTTCACGAATTGAGGCAGAAAAAAAATGGCGGAAGACGCGGAGAGCAATATTGCTATTCGTTTTGTCGACGAAAACGACTAAAGAGAGATTTCTGTTAAAGCTGTGTCAGCGAAACGGAAATTAAAAAAGAATCGCTCCTGCTTGGCGTCCTATAATAATAGTAATAATAATAATTTAATAACTTCTAGAGCGCTATTTACATTCACTGATCAACAGCGCGTAACAACTTAAAAAACTACAATAAAATTCAAATTTGTAAAACTAATTACATGTACATGAATATTACTTGCTACTTGCTTTATTGTACAAACGACGGGTTTCAATAGACCGGCAAAATTTCTCATTTTATTAAAGCACTAACGTTACGATAACTTCGAGTTAAACTGATTTCACGGGTTGTCAAAGAACCGAGCGATTCCCTTTTCCCAGGTGAGCGCCGACTCATTTTGCTTCAATATTCAGGAATGCTCTCGATCTCTTTACGCTTTCATTGCCTTTCGCCCGACATATTTTGCATGGCGTTTTGTCATGCGAAACCTCCACGAAACATCCACGCAGCGCGCGAGGTAACTTTATCCCGATTCTAAAAATAACTTGAGACGAACTACCTATGGAATAGGGTGTGTATGGGGGATGCCTTCTCTGTCCCCTTTATCCTCTCTTGGCTAGAACAGGTTCCCTATCTTCATAGAATGTTTTTTCGTCACTAGAAAATGTTTCTTCGTCGCCAGTAAAAACCCACCTTTGCTAAGAGAGATTTTGGCTTTATTTATTTTGGAGACGCGGTCAGTAGCCATGGTGACAGAATATGGCGTCACTTCAAGTCAAGCCTAAACGTAATATAATGCTTACCGAAAGTAGAATAATTTCAAATTCTAAACACACTTAACATGGCTAAACAAACAAATGTTTGGATAAATTTGGCGTGAAACATAAGGTGGCGGCCTTTGACTTTAGAAGTGATGGACCCGTAAATAACCAAAGTAACAGAGACAAAGCTTAAATTCTGTTTTCTAAGCTGTGGAACCTCTTTACAACGGTAACCATGGGGACAGATTAGAGTTAAATTGCTGAATAGGCCATTTTACATTTATGGATGCAAGGGAGGCTGGAGTTGACCTTGTTTTGAAACAAACCTTCCTGCCTTATTATGTAAATCAAGTTATTCTTATGCTGACTAGTATTTTTCAATGACAATTTCCACACTGACAAAGCTAAGGAGGTTTGTATCAAAACAAGGTCACCGTCAGTCTCACATTAGGGACCTTACGATCCGACGACGGCAAAGGGAACGCCACAAAAGCCATAGGTTTAATCAGCGAAACAACAATTTTGCACGTGCGTCACGCTTTTTTGTACATTTCTTTCCCGTCACTGCACGACTACGACGTGAAAATGCCTAATTTCACGATGTACAGAGGAAGTACACAAGCGACGACGAAATTTCCTCTCTTTTTCTAAACTTAAATATGGTTCTTAGGAATTCAACTTTAGGAGGGTTCGCCTACATTTGACAAAGTTAGTGACTTGAAGTAATCGCGATGAAGATTGAAAGAACGCGAATTCACTCAGTTCAACGACGTTTTCTCTGTCGTCGCCGTCCTGGGATCTTAAGGTCCCTATTCACTCGAAGGCTAGGGTACTAAGTTTACAACTGTAAATTGGTCTATAGGAAACCGTTACAAAATCTTAGTTATCTGACCACAATTTATGGAGAAACGGAGACAAAACAAAGTTTCTTGTATAATAATTCTTTTCATTTAGATGTGCATAAATAAAGCACGTACCAAATATTCAGCAAAAACGTTTAACTCATTTGAAAACTGAAAGAAAATAGCTAGCCAAGAACCCAAT